AGTACCATCTTTCCCTTGAAGAAAACACATTGGAACATGAGTATGTCTTGTAGCCTTCCCCTTCCAGAAACTAAACTATTAGAAGACGATCATCTCAAATGTTTGATAAGTTATTCGTGTAGGTTTTTATTTTTCCCAAAAAGTTATCTTTAAATAATATTACAATAGCCTTTTCGCAGAGCTTATTATTTTCACAAATGTTGAGAAAATAATTTTTAAAATTGGTTTAGTATTCACAAAATCAGAGCCATTAAAATAATGAAAAAATGGATTATCTGTATAATATGTGTTTTAGAACTCGGGAGATTTTATGTCCAACATTCCCTTCCATACATAACTTATTTTTTTTTTAATATAAAAAAATAATATTCCTTAATATTTAACTAGGGTTACTCCCAGTAGGGAGATACTGTTTAATGATTAATTAAATAGTATTTGGGTTTTGTGCCGGATAAAGGTAATCAGTTGTCATTTACTAAAATTAAGAGTAAGGTTATTAAACATGGTTTAATTAAAGTATGTTTGAAAAGTAATGTGTAGTTATGAGTTTAGTTATGAACGACCCTGTTGAAATTTGAGGTGTTGACAAATTGTGGGCTATATCATTGATAATCATCATTAACAATTTCCGGTATAGGTTTTAAGTGATTTTGATCATTATTTTGGTGCGGGGATGATGTTTTTCTAAGGTTTTGGGTGGTGTACACATTTTTTAAATAATATTACTAATCTGTACAATTAAAATAACAATTACTGGGATAGTTTTCCAATCGAATTTACAATGTGCGGTTATAATGTACCTCAGGAGATAAACTTTTTTTTAAAAAATAAGTCGTTTTAGGATAAATATTTAAATCTATACAAAATTGTTGATCAAGACTTTCTCTTAATTTCCATAAGGTCGATTTTTCTTTTTATTCATTGTGTATTATGTGTATTATCTAAAATTGTATATTAAAATTTGCTCATTGCTCACATACTAATAAACACTTAGAATCATAAATTGATAACACTGTGTTAAGTTAAGTCAGGATGTCGTGTACACCTATTCCTGTCTCAAAAACTGTATGATAAACGGCCCAAAAAAATATATTCTTCAAAATTAAACGCACTAAATAATAGCTATCGTGTTACTCGATGTTATCATCAACATTATTATTAGTTGATACCCAAGTTCAATTACCGACATCGGCAGCGTAGTAGTCGTAAAAAATGCACGAGTTCTCTACCTTAGATATAGGACAATTATTTTTTTTACTTTTAGTGTGGAAGCGGTAAAATACAACAGTCTTTTATATACGGGAAGCGAACGAGGCTCGGTCGAATAGGTGACGTTCGTGTTTATACCACCGTGTCACGGGACGTGTGGGCCATGCTGTGAGTGTAATATGGTGCGAGCCAGGTAAAAAATAGTTGGCAAAAACAACTTTGCCGCCCTCTAAGACTATGGATGTGAAGTCATTAAAATCTAACTGCTATTATGCATTTCGCCGGTCGCGTGCCGCTAAGTATATAGTTTGCACACACTCACGCCGACGTACAGCTAAGCGTATAGGTTGTACTGGTGCACTACGGACCGGCCCATGTGGAAGCAGCAGCTCGAGGCGGTATAGTCGAAACTTGTATAATATGTGAGCAACAAAAAAAGAAAAGAACACGACTAAGGAGGGAAAAAACCTTTTCTCGTGCACGACGCCGTGGTATAGTTCAACGCGGAGTCGGGTAATTTATTGAAGGAATTTTACCTAGTGGTTGGCTCCATCGAATCCGACACCTTATATACTCGGTGGTCCCTGGGCGTGGTTCCGGTGGCCGATGATAAATCGGCTATATATTCAAAATTAAAGCAACGCCAAAAACTATGTATAATTTAGGAACTTTTGAATAGTTTAATATGACTAAGCATATAAGCGCAGTAGTTGCAGATGTCATTAAATATTTGTGGCAATTGGAAAACTAAAAACTATCCTGGTTATGAAAACAAATAAAATATAAATAACTCTATACGACGACATTGTACAAAGTACCTATTTGCATATTGCCAAAACAAATTTACCTTATAAAGATCAAGTTAATAAGATATGAAATGCGGTAGCCCAAGAAGTTGGGACGGATTGGCAAGTTATAGCGCAAGATAGAGAGAAATGGGAGGAGGTAGTTTTGGCGGTAAAGATCGTGAAGCCGGAAAAAAAAAAGATCAAGTTAATAACGTTGAAGCACGGCACGACGGCTCTCTGCTTCTTAAAATACCTCTATCAATGCGATTTTGTCATCAAGAAAACCATATTCTGTTAGCTGTTGACTGTCACCATTCATGTAACTTTTGAATGTTTACTTCGTAAGTCAAAAATATTTTGAAGTATGGAGGCCGGCGAGGGTGTACGTGTAATATATTTTGTCCGTGGATAGGACATTTAACTTCAAAAAGCGTTGAACATTATAAGTGGTTATTGTCAAGAAATATTTTCAGCTCAACTTTCTTGTATTATTAATTTAATAAAATAGAAATATAAACGGGAAAAAGTGTTAGTAAAAAAATATATAATAAAAAATGTGTTAGATGACCAGTAGAATTTCCTTACAATTTATTTTTTACTTACACGAGTAATAATAAAAAGTATCACTAATCAAATTATATTTTGTACTTATTAATGCTAACATAAGAGATACAATTCTACAACACACAAAAAGATGTACAAGTATTTTTGCATTATAAAAAGTTACAGTGTACATAATAGTATGTAGTATAGTTAAATCCTATAAATAATGCTGCGCATGTTAATATAATATTATGTTGTAATTCAGAGGTATTTCACAAAAATAAGTATACATGTAACATGTATACAAGCCCTCTATTTGAACAGCATCGCCAAGTATATTATTACATCTTAGACCATTTTTTAGTCTGTATTGAATACAAAGTCCAACATATACGCTTCTATTTATGTATTCCGATCGTTCAGCAATTTTGTCGCAATACTTATTTCAAAAAATATATATGTATATATGTATTACATGAATAGGTTTATTCGATTGTCGTTTTCTATACCGCTTGAATAGTAACTGTAAGTAAATAATATATAATCGCAAGCTGTATTGAGCTGACACAGTTATTTTGCTACTAATGTATTCAAATCAACACAGAGATTATTGACTTAAAAAAAAGCTAAAAAGTTAGTTATTCTACAAGATTGGATATAAACCCAACTAAAAAGCTTTCATTTAAAATAAAAACATCGTCTGCGACCTTGGCTACCTCAAGACATATTACTATAAGACAACAACTCCCTCAACGAAGAGTAAACGACCCGTCTCAAATCTAATCTATATTTTCTTCGTCGTAAATTATAAGCAAATACAAGTACTATAATCACATCTTTATTCTGATTTTTAAAATTGTATGTAAAAGAAAATTGTTTTATATAACTTGTAAGAACATGCTAGGTTTTAATATAGATTAGACTAGATTATTATGAACTAGTAGATTTGTATAAATAATGTAATATTGTATTATATCCTATTTTTTTCATTGAGAAAGACTTATAATTTTGAAATTATTAAAAGTTCTATTTAAAAATAACTGTTAAATTACAAACTTATTTTTTGGGTACTGTTGAAATTGCATTTATTCGATAAACATCTAAAACTACTACAGTACCTGCTGTTGATATTATACGCGTCTTGGTATTTATTATTTTTCAGCCAATACTAATTATACCCTATCTTGAGGCTGTATAAGGGTTCCGGCAAAGCCAATTTATTTGACACTTGCCGTCCACTCGATACCAAATCGCACAATTTATGACTTGAGTACAAAAAAAATATGTCACACCCACTATAAAATATTATTATGAATAGGGTTTCTACTGTCAGATTCGTACAGAGTGATCAGTTATCGTTAATAACAATAATACATTACCGACTGAGCATATTATAAAATGAGGGCGTATTTAAGTAGTTATTGTTTTAATTAGTTTATTATTCACGGGTATTGTATCTATATAGTTTTACTACTATCGAAGTAATAACAATAACAAACAATGATAATTATAAAAAATCATTTTTTATTATTAGGTAGACGTTTTATCTGATATTTTGTTTAGCTCATTTTAGTCATGAACTTTATTACCTTGTCCTTCGCGATTTGAGACTAAAACGCTTCATTTAGAACTATTTTACATATTTTTTAATTTCTTCGAAAGAAAAAAAACGCAATATCTAAATAAAAATAATACTTCCAAGTATTCTATGTGACCTTTTTCAAAAATGTACATTGCTTATAGCAAAAGTGAAGCCGTAAAAAACGCATAAATATTTTGTTTGCTCATGCATAATATGCAAATAGTTCTGAAAACCTGAGTATGGTAATAATTACAACCAAGAAAGTAGTTGGTTCAAAGACGGCAGAAATATTATTTCAAAATAACCATTACCTTTAAATGATTGTCAAAACAATTTTAGGTAATACGATATTAAATACAAAGTCATAAAATAAATAATTTATCGATCATATTATCTGGTAATTCTCTCAAATAGTTGTATACTAAAAATTATTATTATGTTAGTAAAGAAAAACTGTATCCATAGGCAATAACATGATATTAATACGTGTTTTTAATTGGGCTTTAAGGATACTCGCAACTTAGTTAAAATAACCAACTATACCTTATTATTTTTTATTAACAATTTGCATTTGTGTTTATTATAAATATAAAATATTGCGCAAACTTGCTTTTTTTATATAGTTGGAAACAGTTTCAAATATGTATGGAATATTCTTTAGATATAGTATTATCGATGACAAACCAAACAAATATCAAAATCCCTTTCCCCTAAAAGAGTCGAAAACTTTTCCAACATTTCTTTATTTCACTCGTTGAGTGTTGTTTAAAAATTCCTACAACCCTGTGACTACACCCACCTTACTATAATACGTCCGCGTTTTGTCCCTACCAAATAGTACTGTTTTTCTTAATAAGCGAATTACATGTATTTTGCAGAGCGTAAAATGAACCAACAAAAATGACGAAGATTTTTTAGAACTGAAAAAAGAGAATGAAGAAAAACAAACCCTTCGTATTGCATACGTCGACTTTAGTCGTTTTGTTACTTCTTATCAAGGAACCATATGGTAAGTACCATAATTAAAATAGGTATTTAAAGTTTTTTTTAATGAAATTATTCAACAAACATTTGTAATAGATATAATAACCTTTAATTAAATATACATTTAAAATATGATATAATGTATTATGTGTTTAAAAAACGAAGTTCAGGGTGCCACGCAAAATATTGTTTCCAACATATACCTGTAAAATATTCTTGTGAAGTATATTTGATTTACTGACCAAAACGATTTTCAAACTTTTTTATTGAAGCTGAATGATTCATTAACACTTGATTTATAAATATTAATTTATGTATCTGATATATTAATCGAATGTAATACATATTTTGTTAAATTAAATTTAAAAAAAACTTTCGAGTAAACACTATAATGAATTTTGATAATTTATTAATAATAAAAATATATTTACTTTACCCTCCATTTGCAGGGGGGGAGGGTGAAATTAAGTTCTCTCGTTAGTTTTTGACAGTTGTTCAGTGGCTGTGTTGGAGTTGTTTTGATTAATATTGCTGTAAATACAGTGTGTAAAAATTTAAACTTTTTCTCGATTTTTAACGGTGTCAGCGGTAGACTTTTTCAACTTTTATCCTTTGCCCTTTAAATTACCGAGAGCGTGGTGTAACATTGTTGAAACCAAAATTATCTAGTAGCTTGGCGTCGAGTCCAAAGTAAAGTAACGAAAAATAAGAATGCTAAGATTAGATTTTAGCGAGAGCGTATAAAGGTAGTTTGAAGTGAAACTTCGGCCTCGCGCTTCCCAATATATATATATGGGAATAACTAAAATAGGCTAACATGGTTTTGAGCATTTATATGAAAGGAAAATATATACTATAAAAGAAGATTTAGCATACCCACGAAATTGGGTAAAATGTAGGGTCAAATGAAAGTACTCGCAATGCGCCAAAAAAGATTGTAAAAAAGTGTACAGGAGAGGATTATGAAACGACCATTGTCATGTAACTGAATCTATACTATAAATAGTACTTCAGGCGCAAAAAAGATATACCCAAAATGTTGACAGACAATACAGATATTTCATATGAACATATAATAAATAATTGCATAATATATATTGCAATATTGTTTGATTAAATATAAGTACAATGTATAGAGAAAAATAAAATGTTCGAATTAATTTAAATAGTTCGAACTAGTAATTTCGAGTAATAGCTTAGCAAAACACCCTAGTATTCCACGCACGTTTCAATGGTACGTATGTTGAATTCCAAGCGGTCAACTGAAATGTTATCAATTATCCGTATGGGTGTAAAATGTGCACATAGGCTTTCGCTGACAAATGCCAGGAAATTGTATGTGTAAATATCATTGATAGATGAACTATGAACATACGTGTAGAATAATAATAATCAAAGCAAAAATAAAACGTTCATACTTAATATAATTATTTTATTTTTCTAAACATAAACAATAAATAAGAAAACGATGATTACGAGGACTAAATATCGTAAAAAATGATGAGACTAGTTTTGATTTCAACAGTCAAAAGCCAGTATTTAATAGTGTTTGAAGCGTTCAAAACACGTTGGAAATATCAAGACGTCATGTTTTGTTGTTATTGATTTATTTCATTGTTTTATTGTAATAATAATAATATATTTAACGTCCTGAAGACAATAATGTAGCAAACATATCAAATTATAAATGGTATCGTACAAAATAGTATACAAAGGTAATACTAAATATTACTAAATAAAATATCGGTTCTTAATAATAATTGTTAACATACACTCAGACATATACTATTGTAAGATGTTAAGTATGAAACTTGGAGTAATAATAACATAAGTTTGTACTTTAATATTACTAACATTACTTTCTTGATATTAAAGAACGTAAACAAAATTGAAGTGCATATTACAATGCACAATTTATAGTGATTGCATTATATGATGATTTTGCAATTAACTTATTACATGTAAGTACACTTGAAAGTATAATGATAATAGAATGCTTATGCACCAACAATACATACTCTTAGTCGACAAACATCATGTTTTGATTTTATATATAACTGTCCATTCAGAGTTTTTTAGAAAAATGCTTAAAAATTCTATTATTATATTACAGGTTCTATTGCACGTTCTCGTTGAGTGTATAGCTTGTTAAAATACAAAATGAACTCCATTATAATGGCCGTCGTATATTAACATAACTAACATTGTACACTTATGTAAGTTTACCATGGTAGAGTACCATTTAAAACTAATTATGCGATGTCTTGAGAAGTATACGTTTATTTAATCACAAGTACCTACTATTTTGTCATTAAATAATTTCCATTTACAATGTACGCTGCTAGTGTGTTATTATTTTTTCATGAACACATTATGCCCGTATCATAATGTATGTATATTGTATATTATTATACATATTAAGGTACATTTGAAGTTTAAGAGCCAACGCTAAACAAAAGGAGTATCCCGTTCAATGTAAAAATTTAATAATGTTTAAGTTGTTAACAATTGAAAACAAATTATAATTATTTCGGTTTTAAAAGTAGATATCTTATTGTTTTCTACTTCCTTCGAAACTGGTCTCAAAAATTATGATTTTTTTTAAACATAATAGTAAGTAAAGCTAATCAATGGAAAAGGAAATCCAACGTAAATCAGTGAATTCCAAGTGAATCCGCTATAATTGCGTAAGATGGAACTTATCAGAAATACATTTTAATATGACAATTGATTAAAATAATCTACTATATAACTAGACAAAAATGCTAATTTTAGTCGGCTTTTTTAAGTTTTTCATCTATTTCTATTTTAAAAAATTAAGATTTCGCTACAATAAATTTGCTTTACTTAAAGTTATTTTGATTTTGGCATTATGAACAAGGTAAAGCATACATTTCTGCGAAATATATTGAAAACGAGAAATGAAAAACTAAATAGGTATTCAAGATTCAACTAAATTATCTGTGCACGTTAAGGCAAAGAAAAAATACATCTCAGTGTGTCTTTAAAACCAAATTTGACTATTCACTCTATTCTTAACATTTTACTAATATATTATCGTCTATGCCAAATATTGCTGCTGAATATTTTACCAATGCGATTTATAATACAATTTTCGAATAAACAGCCTAAATCACGTTCTAATACAATAGAATACATTATTATGTAGGTTAGCAAATAAACGAAGTCCTAAATAAATACAATTTCTTCTTGCCGCTGAACATTCTATAATTTGTTTTTATAATTATTGACACAGAGTTGGGAATTAAACCCCGACATAATATTTTATAATTTAATAAAAAATTACTGCACTCTAAGAAATTGGACTTTTGTGGTCTAACAAAAGAAGGAATTTTGAAAATAAAAAATATTTTTATTTAAACCTCAGGCGCCAGTTTCAAACAGCGAGTTTTCTAAAACTGACTAAATTAAATCATTCTCTTGACCTTAAATCAGCCAATATAATAAGCGATTTAGTTAAAGAAATTAAAATTAATAATTATTAATTTTTTTGTAAGTATGAAATTCTAACGCCTTTTTAAGAAAATAAAAAAAAAAGATTTAATACACAAAAATCTAAAAATAATTAAATGTATAAAGAAAAAGTTTCACACAACTTCTAAATCTCTTATGTTTAGGTATCTTAATAATACACATTTTTCTTAATATAAAAATCGGATGTTTAGTTTATCTGACTTATTCTAGTAATATCCAAAAAAATTTTTTTTAACATGGATTAAGATTTTCACATTATTTAGAAAATCAGTTTTTATACAAATTTACCTTTATCATTACTGGCTGTTTGTGAAAATCAGTTGAAAGGTTAAAACGTTATCTATTAATGGGCAATATTTATCAAAAAAATGTTTTTAAACTCATCGACTTATATCAGCTCTAGTGTGTAAATTTCAAGCTAAAACGAAGACCCGTCACTTCTGTTTAGATTTTTGTATTTTTTCTTATCTAGAATGTGTATGTAATTTTGAATTTCTGTTCATTTTAGTATATTATAATTATATACTATTTATATTATTGCTTGTCGCTGTAAACTACTAAGTACATTATAAATATTGGGTTAGTCCCTTATTTAAATAAATAAATATTATAAGCAGCGGTTTAGTTAACTAAACATATAAATGAAATTTAAATCAACACACGCATATCGCAACTTAGTTATAAATCATTTCCTTTGCGAATATATATTCCTAGCACACTCATTAAGGGTTCTCTTAGCGTTTGTGTTCTACTATCGAGAAAATCATTTGCAAATACGCTCACCCGTTTTATTTATCGCGTAATAAATTATTTACCTCTGTAATTATTTATGCAGCGCAATACGTGGAACACCTAGGGATTAAAATAAAATCATTACCATGTAATGAGCAAAATATTCAAAGTATAATATAAAATAATACTATGAGTAATGGGGTTTAATTATTATTTTCATATTGAAAAACCTTTCGAGACGCACTAGTTTTAATACTAACAAATAGGTTTATAATCATTATTAAACAACTAGAAAGAATTATTAAATGGGTCGTTTATTGTAAAAGTGGTGTAACTCCAAATGTTTAAAATATACATTTTGTTGCTTAATGCACAAATAAATAAAAAGTAGCAAATACTGAATACTTGAATTGGTTTTCCTACACAATAAGCTCGTTATTTCAAAATTCCATTACAAGGAGATAATTCACTTTTTACAATGAACAACACGTACCTATATTATTATTTAAACTTTCTCTTTTTACTAAAAATTATCTTAGCTATCTCGGATCAGGTTTAAAAAATTGTGATCTATTTTTTTTAAATACGAGTGAAAATATTTTAAAAAATGTCTATATTATAAAAATGTTTTCACGACGATTTTACTATAATTTAGAAATATTATTTCTATATTTGCTTTCTGGAAAAGTTATCCCCAAAGTCAAAACGTTATTCACGCAGATTATGTTAATATAGGCCGATTTATGACTCCCAAATAACGTTTAATAGACTTGTGTTTATTAACGTTGCTTTTGGACAGATACAAATCTTAAACATTTTCATCTCTAACGGATTGCTCTTTACACCGAGTTTTAGAGGTACATAAGTCCTACTCCCTAACCGTACGGCTTTCCTTAAACAATATTAAGTTCCCAAAGATTAAAATCAATATTAACTCAAAGTTTTCACATTCCACCCGTTTAGTAGACCATGTTGATTTTGTCAGTACAAATTTTCTAAATCCCAGGTAACTTTGAAATTATTTATAATATTTATTACCATCCATTTTTGACATCAGTTTTAATTAACATATACGTTAATCGTGTCACTGATATGACATCTATGCATTCCATTATTCTGTACTATGAAACTTAATAGGCTTTAATAATTTCGTTTACCCGATAAGAAAAAAATCATCTAGAATAAATTAATTTTCTTGTAAACGTAACAAGTTTTTTTAACATTTCAAAAGACGGATAATACTAGAATAGAATAAATTAATATCAATTCGGAGTAACTCTTCACCAAAACCATTCACCATTTACAATATCCAAAAACTTAATTAATTGTTCTAGAAACATAGAAACAGAGCAATTATGCAAATTTTAGTATTTGTATTGTTGTTGCGCTGGGCACTTGATTCCTATATCATATTTTCTGATTACTTATAAATCAATGTACTTCTTAATACACTCATAATAGGTGATTTAAAAAATTATAACTGTGAACTAATCAATTTGGGTTACTTTCTTAAAAATTCATTAATAGTCAGATTCCTAAAACTAACATAAGTATGTTTGAAGTGATTGGAAAATGAAAGTAAATTTCTTTTCTATCTCCAAAATGTGTGCTTTATTGATTTTATTTCTAAAATTATGAATAATAAATAATGTATTTGAACGAAAAAATATTATTTCCATGATACTCTTTAAAACATTTTCTGGCGACTTACATTAGGTTTTTATTTTGTTGAACAGACTTTGGCGAAGCTGTTAAAATGCTTGGAGTCAAAGTGCCTGCTTACATATTCATGGGCGATTCGGTGCAACTGTTTTGTAATTATGACATGCAAATGGACAAACTCTACTCAGTCACATGGTACAAAGACAACGAAGAGTTTTACCGGTTTGTTCCATCATCTAAGCACCTCAAACACAGTTACAACATGGACGGCATCACCGTAGATGTAAGTTGAATGAATGTTGAGCAAGGTTCAACCAAATTACACTTATACAGAAGGCATATTTTAATTTCTTACAAATATTATTACGGGTTTTATAATATTATGTTGAACAAAAATTAGAGTAGAATTTTTCACGATATACTAAATTACAAATTATACATTCAAAATCGTATTACCTTATCAACTTCACACCGAAGCTAATAAATGGTTACTTAGCTGAGTTACTTAACTTTAACACATGTACTCTGATACGTCCAACCCTGTTTATGCATTGTATATCTAAAAATATTATAACCCATTATATTATGTTTACATACCCTCACTATTTACTGGCTTATTATTCATTTTCCACTGTCAATGGTCATATGTGCACAAGTAAATCCAACCAGAATTGCCGACAGTGATATTTTTATAGTGAATAATGATTACACTAATGATCGGTTAACGCGATTCTCTTGCCGTTTGTACATTAGAAATACACGCATTGGCTTCGACTAGACTCGCCTACTAATAATACTTACCTTTAATGGGACTCGTAAACAACTTGGACTACTCCAAATGGACTCTAAATCTGATCTATAGGCGCACGCTGAAGAATGTTTTTTTTTCTCTAACATGCTGAAAGATAAATTACTTGTGAATTTTTTTCCCCGTGAACAGAAAGCGGAGAACGCCTTTAAGCTCATTTATAGTATTAAGTGCATTTCAAAATGACGAAACGAATACGTCCACTCGAGGAGGAATTCCCACGCGAGTTACACGTTACAAACAAATACCATTTTGATTGTATTTTTTTTTTGTTTATACGAGACAACAGTAATAACGTGTACAAATTATAAATTGAACTACTAATGGAAATTCATTTCGCACCGATCGTTATATCATATCTGTCGAAGAGAAAATATAATCCTATGCTTTGAAGTTATTCCATGGAAATATGAAACTCTATCAAAATTAGAGTTATTGAAATAAATATATTATGTCTATACCTTCCATGAATTGTGAAATACTAACTTGCATAAACAATATAATATGTATACTAAATATATAATGCTGGTACATGATAATGTGTCATATACCAGTATGATGTATCACCATTAGCTGGTGCATTATTATAACTCAACATTGCTCAAATGGATTTTAAATTATTTTATAACGAGACCTATGGATTTCATCGATGCAGAGCTTTGAATTTACCCAGATTGTTCAGTAAAACAGTAAACATTTCTGTTGGATCAAATTCACAAACAGAATAATTATTTGATGACTAATAACTTTGATACATAATATGGCTGAATATGTTTGTAACGTGGGTTTGTTTGTAAGAAAAAGTGTTTACGTTGTGTCAACGTTTTCGTCAAAGGTTTTCGCGATGAACCACGTTAAACGTGGTAAAATATAATGTGCTATGATATACTTGTTGTCTCGATCACTTTCAACCATAACTTAGCCGGCACGTATAGCGAAGGCGATGTTAGTCGTTATAATGGAAACAATGACAGGAGGATTCGCACGAGCAATGGAATATTTGAAAACATTGGCACCATCACCTCACAGCTAAAATTATTACTCATACCCTTCAGCTCCGTTTCCAGTCATGTCTGCTGTTAGTGACAATGGTTAATGTGATTTTTGATCGCGATAAAGTACCGATCAGTTACTGCACTTGATTGATGCACAACCAAATCACTGTACACCCAAAATCCCCCACCTCCATATTGAAAACAATCATTTCTTTGCAAAAATGTGTTTACAACTATACATAACGATCTATCCAAACAGTAGCTTGGATGTAATGCTAGGTACAAGTATTGAGATCATGGTTGGTTGGCTTAATATGGCCACCATACTGAGCGCCTAACTGAAGGGGCGGGAGTGCGAGGTCTTAAGAGGTTTAAATTGACAAACAAAATGTAGAATTACGCAAATAATCTAATCCAGATATATATTAAGCCTTGAATTTCATATTGTTCCTCAAGACAATGAAGATACTTCTGATAAACAATTTCAACGTTTAAACCTTTACACTATGTATTATTTAATCGCTGTTGGAAATGGGAAGAAGCAACAACCGTCAGATGTTTTGTGTGACAAAAAAACTGTGGTTAAAAGAAAAAAATACAGTATATAAAATTCTTTTGAATCTGGCAAAGATGAATGGAAATAGCCGAAATGAAAATGTGACGGTCGAGTAATCACGAAAAAAATAAATATGAATCTGCTAAAGTTATAAACCTAAAAAAAACCGCATAAAAAAACCTTTCACCGAAAATAATTCGTTTGGGGGTAGCATAATACAACTTAGGCACTAGATAGTTCCTCATCATATAATGCGTTACAAAGGTTATTTTTTTTATATTAAATTATTATGCTGTAGTGTATTTTTATGGTAATATGTCAATCGCATACAACTAAGTAAACAAATGTCGTTATTAAGCAAATGGAATATTCGGTATAGCTATTTCGTTTTATTGATGTCAATAGTCTGTTAATTATGTAAAGTTTTTTTTTTTTTTAATAGCATGCTCATTCGGATAGCAAAAAAGTTACACTGCGCTATGCCAATTTATTGATGAATGGTGAATACAAATGCGAAGTGTCCGCAGAAGCGCCATTTTTCACCACAGTACACGCCGAGTCGAAAATGGCCATCGTAAGTAAGTAACTATCGAATACCATAATATTTAATCATATTTCCTGCTAAAGTACAACAAACATACCTGACAACGGCAACTCAATTATTCATGAAGTACTTTCAATAATTTTGTTTGCCCTTCACTTAGCTATTTTCGTGTGGACTTCGATGAAAATAAATTTATTGTAAATCAATTATAGCCGTACTACTTGTTAAAGTTGGACGCTGTACAGCGTACGCGATTGGCATTTTCATAAAATGATGTCCGACGCAATAATTCTAAAAAAAAAATTATGCTTAACTTACTCTTAACTTTTGTCAAACACACACACACACAAATTAAAATAATGTCATTTAAATGACAACCGTTTTGCAACTATTATTATAAGAAACGTTGACCGTTTGAAAAAAAAGGAAAATCTTACATAATGTAAATCAGTACACAACTTTTAGAGCCAGTGAGAAGTGGATAGCTGATATTACTTTCCCTTGAAAGTTGCTTGCCCAGAAAACAATACGGTCAGTCAAAGCCAAGAACAACAACACGACCGTGTAGACCCAAACTTGACCACTAAGTCCTTATTGAATAATGTGTATATTTTGTAATTTCACATACTTATAAACTTGCAAGATTTTGAATAACTTTAAAATATGTGTAGAAATTACGAAACGAACACTTAAACTATTTAAACTTTTAATTTCCACATTAAAACTCATGAAAACTTCATGGTAAAGTAATTATATTCAATATCAACTTGTATTTAACAGCTATGTTATAGAATATATTATTTTATGACATCTTAAAAGAAAAAAAATACTTAGCTACATGAATAATAATGGCTAAAAGAACGTTTTTGGGGATTACTCGCATTTTTGAGATCTCACATCTAGTGTTTATAATAAATATCCAAAATTGTAGACACATTTATTGGACTTATATATTAATAAGGATTTCGTTGGATCAACGAAGATTATTTTTTCAGATTGACTGGAGGATTAGGCGCGGTGATCCCAGTAAAATCTGCGAAGCGTTTAAATCGTTAAATAACTAGCTTGTAGTATAATATTCATATTATATTAACAATATTAGACCGCACCACGGGCGAACGCGGGTACTAATTATTTTAATCTATACATACATACATACATACTGGCGTAGGTAGGTAGGTAGACATATCTAATGGAAATCCTAGTGGTTTATAATGTACACTGGCGGTAACCGGTGGGAAAACGGGAGCGTTGCAAACACTGCGAGAAATCTGTGTTCATCAGTGTCTCTCTTCAAAGAAATCCTCATCGGTGTGACCGTTAATATTAATTACCCACGTTTTAGTATCTCGGGCACTGCAACCTGTCTTGGGCGGATTTGGTACATAGTTTACATACATTACACATATTACATTACACGTGTCGTCTTGGATATAATATGTTTCGTCGACAACGACACCTCCTCGCTTATTACTATTACAGTTGATGATCTGGAAAAACGGCCACCGACTTGTATGTATATTTGCTAAAAATTATATAATATATTAAACATTATACCAGCCATACCTACATATAACTCGACACTGCGCTAAATACGTTGATTCGGGCCGGCCGATTATTTTAATAGTCTATTCACGTGCAATACGATATTAATAACACCACGACTATTATTATGAAAAAACACGTTTGCTCACACCTAAGCGAAACCCGTAAAATATACACCCCGTCTAAATTATAATATTATATATTATATGTGTACACAGTGTGTGTGTGTGTATCTAAGTTGTATAATATGCCCCACACATGGTGCCCTCCATTTTGCAGCGGTTTCGCTATATTTTATCCATGCATTTTTAATGTTTTAAGTTATAGGGTACGTCATTGGGGTAATAGTAGTGTGCATAAAAACATATATATACATATATATATATTTATATTGAAAACATGTCGTGTAAAAAAACATTATTTTAATGTGTGTACGGTATAACCCCAAAACATGAAGCCTATACGTCTCGTACAGTGTTAAAAATTATCTAGATAAATTTATTTAGACATGCTATCTTGTTACATTTATTTAGCTTTGTTACCTAAATAATAACTGACTGTATTTATAATTATCTAGATAAATGTAATCTGAGATAACTAAGGATTATGTAAGATAAAAAGTACTATTATCATTAAATAATCTAGATAAATATATTATAAATTTGATTTCTATTATTATAAGTTATAAAAATACAAAATTAAAGAAATTAGTCTTACAAGTATTTTACAATTTTTAATACACATTTTGTTTAAGTGCTTGTACAATGGTGATTTATTTTATACAATTAATTTTTTGTATTATACTCATCTAAAGAGTGACAGATTCCAATTCCACTGCAGTTCGAACGAACTATTAATCTATTACAAGTGTTAAAATCAACCTTTTTGGTAATGAGTTATCTACATTTTTTCCTTAGAGTTTTAATACACCAATGCTTTTAAACGCTCTTTGTATACATTCCTCTCCCCTAATATTATTTAAAAATATATGTTCCGTCATTTTATGCATGAATAACTTTGAGGGATTCATTGACGACACAACCTACTTGACTTCAAATTATTTTTTTTATTTTTCTTTCTTTCTTTTTTATGTAATCAGAAGACTGATTAGCGTTTTTAAAATGTACCTTCCTTTGTTCCATTTCCTGCTGTATCTAAAATTTTAAAATAACTCAAAAGAAAAATCAATGTTTAAGAATAATTGTATTGGAGTATTGGTTGTCAGTATACGGAAAAATGGCAAAAGTAGGTATGAAACAATTGCAAAAGAATAATTCAACTTATTCAAGCTATAAATTCTTATTATTATAATAAATGATGTTGAGTAGAAACGTATTCCCTTACTTTTTGTTTGGACGTTTTATTTGCATATTTTTTATTGGCAACCTCGCCAGACGTATAAATATAAGTAATATACACATATATACCACAGCAACCTGGTTCAAAGGTTCAGTTAAAAGGAACTCTTGAATACGTTATTAATATTTTTTTCACCCGACTATTCTCCAATGTCTTCCTCGGTTTCAAAAATATAACTCCTAACACTTCTGTACATTCTCCTCTACATTAGTTTTTACATTCGTACTTAGAGCGTCCGTATGATTTTACTCTTAATGAGCATTGAAACAAATCGTTTTTATCTCCACCTAGCGTTAGTTATGATTACAAGTTAAAATCAAACTTGGTAAGACGGTTTTTTTATTATAAAAGAGTCGTCACCCGTTCTTGAAGTTTATACGTACAAATAAATAAAGCAATAGAATAAATATACAATGCTAAACTACATAGTTAAAAAAAAACTCCACCTTGATATAATTAATGTTAACATTAAATTGGTTAATTTTTTATTACTACATGTTGCACGACATGCGTTATAACTATTTTAATTAAAGTCGAAAAAATTACATTTGTGGCGGTCAATAAACGCATTAGACTACTTCAATATAAATGTTTATAACTGTATTAACTAATTTTTTACTTAAGTTTCTTGCAATGTAACTAATAAAAAATATTTTTTTTTTGCACATTTTAGGTTTACCAAAGCCAAAAGACATTCCCAAGATATTAGGTGGAAACGATAAATATCAGTCGGGTGATATGGTTTACCTCAATTGTACGTCGGGAAGGTCATACCCGGCAGCCAAACTTCGCTGGTATGTCAATAACAATAAGGCAAGTAATCATAAGAAAAACAAATTGATTTATTTAATTTAGTTTTAGTTAATCTGAAGTATATTTTCCTAATGTTAATATTAATTTTAGAAATGGGTGACATTTATGTGTAAAAAATTATCACCTTGCTCGGATTAAAAAATATTGCTTTAAATATAAGAGCCTAACTTAATTTGTATTTATTATTAAAATGTATTAAAAAACGAATTGAGTGGCTTCAACAGTAAATTAACTGAGTAAAAAAATAACAACTAACGAAAATATAACGCAATATGTTTTTATTTTTAATTATATAATACAAATCATACTTGGAAACATATACTGGAAAATTCCATATGTTTTTTAATTCGACAAAGTGATTCTTATTGGACTAAAAGCTGTTCTTTCCCAGATTTATTTTAAATAATATTTTTATCATTAAAAAAAAATGTTTCCTACTTCGAGCTTTCCTTTCAAACTTTTAAATAATATAAACTCGTGTTGGTCTTGGAAAACGTCTCAATCTATATAATGTTTCATCGAGTATTTTTTTTTCTTTTCTGAATACCAGTACTAATTTGGTTAAGCCTTTAAAATGATGTTCGTTTATATTTTACATAATGGTTCTTATCAGAGATGTAAAACATGGCGTTTTTGTTATTTTTTAAGCTAGTTTATAAAATTATAGTATTAAATACGTTTTTTTTTTACTAATAACACAAAAAAATATTTTCAATACTAATAGAAGTATTTCTTAAAAGTTATCAAGATAACATAAACGGTTTGTGAAATTTATCAGGATGAAAATATCTATACGTTACCTAACACTTTATATAAGTACTGTAATAAGTACTTAACATAGCTAGGTTGTACTCACTATACGATTCAACTCAACAGGTCATGTCCAGTCACGAGCATACCGAAAAATTACACAACGGTCTGTTTATTACTATATCCAGATTAAATCTGTCGACAACGGATGATCAATTCCATAATGGTAAAATAAAAGTCACCTGTCAAGCTGTCATCAATATAGGACGCCAGAAAGCGTTGCCATCACCTAAGGAGTACAAACACGACACCGTACTATTAGGTAAGTTTCATAACAAAACTTATTGACACTTCAATTTTCTTAACGCCAATATTTCGGTTGTAAACTTTAAAAAGTGGTTTCGACAATTACTGCTGTCGATAATTCTCTGCGAATAAATTAGATTGGTTTCCAAATTATTTCTGTTGTTATTATTTCGGACCAGTATCTCAAAATGTAAATTTAAAATTTTAACAACTTCTTCTAGACGGCTTAAACGTCAGTTTCGATCGGTAGTCCCTTGTGCATATTTACCAGGGTGATTTATAAATCTAAGCTAGTATTTGTTTTTTAATTAAAAACAATTATCTTCTCTCTTATGACTTGTGAGATATTTATTACCTAAAATAGTTTTTATAGCTACTTATGAATTTGCTATCTACTGTCGGTAATTTGCATTACAAAATCAGTTCTGAGTTCTGTAACTTTGAGCTTTTTAACCTTTACAAACTTATTTATTCAAAAGTATTTAAAAAATGGCAACATAAAAAGTTTATCTTCAAGTACATCACTTATCTTAGTGTCTACAAATAATATGATCCGTTTCGTTATGCAATTAACACAATTTTAGAATTTGTATGAAATTATTGTCTTTATAATATATATCACAAAACAATACTTGTAAGTTTGTTAATGAACACTAACTGCCTTGAACGCTTGTCCAAGTCCATCTAGTTATAAATTATTTTTTATACTTAGTTAAGGGAAAATACGTTTATCTTTAATGGTATTTAAATACTTGTGTATAAAATAGTTATAGAGAAATATAGACTGAGTAGCATTTCAAAACAATACAGAAAAAAAACAACAACGTTATTATAGACATATATAGTTTATTACAATCAAACGAACATAAAATATGTGCTTTAAGACTGAGAGAGGTTGAGTGCTGAGAATTTTAAGTGCAAAGAAAACACTAGACATCAATTAACAAAAAATAGCTTGTAATAAAATATGTAAAGAATAAAATTTAAAATGAAAATTGATAGAGAACATAAATTACCTATCAACAGTAAAATGAAGTACAAAATGTTAAAGGATAGGTATGATTATATTTCCTTTTTTCTCTACTTCCAAAGGTGCTTGATTAAAAAATGCTTCACTACATTGATTCATTTTAGAAACACACTCCTTATTGGCTTTTTCTATAGAAGCCAGGTAGGCACATAAATGCTTTGATAAAAGTTTTACTTTTTTCGGTTTCTTATCGTCTTTCTCTTTACCCACCTTATTGCTCTTTTTATCATTTTTCTCTTTCTTTTCTTTCCCATCTTTCTGGGATTCTTCATCTATATTCTCGCTCTTTTTATTTTCTTCTCCATCTCCATTATCGTCCTTATTCTTTTTCTTTTTATCTTTCTTTTTCTCTCCCTTGTCTTTACCCACCTTTTTGCTCTTTTTATCATTTTTCTCTTTCTTTTCTTCCCCATCTTTCTGGGATTCTTCATCTATATTCTCGCTCTTTTTATTTTCTTCTCCATCTCCATTATCGTCCTTATTCTTTTTCTTTTTATCTTTATTTTTCTCTCCCTTGTCTTTACCCTCCTTCATGCTCTTTTTATCATTATTTTTCTCTTCCATTTCTGCCCCATCTTTCTGGGATTCTTCATCTATATTCTCGCTCTTTTTATTTTCTTCTTCGTCTTTTAGGGATTCTTCATCTTTTTTATCGCCCTTCTTGTTCTTTTTACCTTTACCTTTATCTTTATTTTTATTTTCTTCTCCATCTTTCTGGGATTCTTCATCAATATTTTCGCCCTCATTCTCGCTCTTTTTACTTTTACTTTTCTTTTTCTCTTTCTTTTCTTCCCCGTCTTTCTGGGATTCTTCATCTATTTTATCACCCTTATTCTTTTTCCCCATATCTTTCTTTTTCTTATTCTTTTTTACTTTTTCTATTGATAATGGATCCTCAAAAGCTGTGCGAAGTGTATTATCATTTTCCAACAAATTAACTGAAACAAATATACATGTTTAATAAGCAAGTACCTTGAAGATAATATGATCGAATGTTTAATGTCTTAAGTTATCAAATAACAAATAAAAAGGAAATATCAGAAATTAATTTGGTAATCATTTACTCACAAACAAAACAAGCTAGTACAGTGGGGTCGAAGAATAGACCGGGGAGATCATAGGTTATCCGGGATTATTGTAACTGAAAGTCATTTTTTCACTTTGGATTATAGTAATTCCTGATAATGTGTGACCTCCCCACCGCAAATATTTTTGCCCACGCATTGCCCCGACCGCACTGTACTGACTTCTTTTATTAATTAATGACTACGAAATTAATACATAGGAAATACATTTTTCGTACAAAATCAAAGTGTAGTTGGTAAATTTACTCAAATTTTAAAAACCCATCTTTATCGTAATTAAAGCTAATAACGACTAGTACAAAAATTATTGTTGTTTTAGTTTTGTTATGCGTTTGTTGCTATGGTTTCGTATCATGTTTGAAAACTTAACTAAACTATTATAATTGTTAAACTAAAAAACATATTCAGCCGATTTCATCAACATTTGTTAAGGATTTAACTTATTGTTAATTATATTATTTAACAATAAGTTAGTAAAAATCGAGTTTCATCGAGATTTGTTAACCTTAACACGTTATTAAAACGGTTGTTAAGTTAATCAGCTGAAATCAGCTTGTTAAAAAGTTAATTAACATGTTAAAATGCATTAATTGAATTATACATTACTAATTAAGTTTTGATTTTAAAATTATAATATTATCACTTATCAGTTATCACATTTTGTGATAAGCAATAAGAACGTTGGAATCAAGGTAACCGCTTTGGTAACCCAAGTAACATTTCGTTAATTTAACTAATAGAATTTAATATTAATAATGTTATGATCAAACTTACTTAAATAAACCAGTTGTTAAATTTAAATGAATTTTTAATTGACATTATGTTAGTTAGAGTGTATTTAATAATAGTTGGTGAAACCGGCTGAATATCACATAGAATAGGATATTTTTACACTCATATTAAATGCATTATTTGGTATAATCTATCATAACATAATAAATATATTTGTTAAAATTTTAAAGATTCTTTCTTGGATATACTAACACACTACCAGTCATCAATGTACACCATAGGTGTTTCTATAAATAATTTAATATGAAATATTAAAAACTACAATATGTCTACCATAGAGGTTTTACCAGAAGAAGCGTAGAATAGTCAGTAATTAAAAAAAAAAAAAATGGAAAAATATTTAAAAAAATGAAATATAATGTCAATGAAAAATATTACACTCAAACTTGCACTGTAACTTTAATAGTGACAAAACAATAAATTATAATTCAATAATAGTAATACTTTCAAACATTAATTATGAATGTGTTTAAACTTTTATGGATGGAAGTATTATATACTTGATAATTTTCGGATGTATCAAAATTGTTGTCATGTTTCGGACGTTTCGGACTCATTGCAGAGTGCATTTATTAGCAACAAATCATACACGGGTACATCCGAAAATCATCAAGCTAATAAATAATTATTAAAAGACTACAAACAATTTAACAACAAATGCGCCTATTGTTAAACAGTAGAACAACATTTTTTGAAGTGTCTCTAAACTAGTCTTTATTAAGGCGCATTTAGTAGAGGCAATTTTTCACTAAAACTTAACAGTAAGCTAATATTTGTAAATATATAATATGTTAAACTTAACAAATCCCCTGATTGCATGCGGTCTGCTTTAAGGAGTTTTGTATAGGCAATATTTAAGAAAGATGAGGTTTTAATAAATGTCAATTGATTTACCGGTTAATTTGTATTTGTATAACCTTTAGAGTATTATTTTTAATTTAAAAAAATTATTTTATGAGTAATAGCTATTTGGTTTGTTTTAGACCAAAATTTCGACTAAATAGGATGGTCCAATTTCAATTCTGTAAAAAAATTCGAGTTCTTTGGCTAAATTATAATGTTATATAAAAAGCCGATTTTAATTAAAAATTTCCGTTTCACGTAATTTAATACGTTTAATTTGCAATTCTTTCAATATTAAAACCCAATTTTTTACATAGAAAAAGCAAAAATCCAAAGATATGTTTCCTACGTTACCTAGTTAAGTCGCCAAAGCACTCTTATATCTTTACAGAATGGAAATCGGACCATCCTAAATAGTCGAAATGGTGATGGCGGCCACCTGCACCTCTCTCTGGGCCCAACTGGTTTGGGATCGTTAGGTCGGCAGCCATCTATTTGCCGAAAAATGCCAAATCTAAACCGTCTAAGCCCCGATCGGTGAGAATAACCGACGTTAAACGTAAGAAAGAGATGCATCCCCTTAACACTAAAGAGAAGTATAATTTTAGCTTTTCATATTTTTCTTTAACCTTTATAAAGCTTAAAGGCCCTATTTTTTTTTTTTTTAATAAAAAAAAACCCAAAAATATGGGTTTTTACATCGAAAAGAGTTCTCAAAAACACTCCAATTTACGTTTTAAAAACCTATTTATATTCTTCATAAAATTTACAAGGTATTTGAGCGAGGTACAATTTAGAAATTAATTTTAGTAATTAATTTTAATAATGATTTCTGTATGAAAATTTGCAATATTTATAGTTTTGTAATCGTTTTTATGATAATGTTAAAAACAAAAATTAAAAATGTCGATCAAGCAAGTATTAAAGAATCTGATTATGTTTTCAAATTTATTGTCGGATTACGCGTTTTAGAGTACAGTTAAATAAAGTTGAGTGATATCCGAGCAAAAAAACGCAGACTTAGAGGCCCTTTAAGCTTTATGCTGTTAGTAACTAAAAAAAAATTGAAATGCAAGCAAAATTTTAAATGTTTTGTACTTACTATCCAACTTGTATGTTTCTATTACTTCAATGCTCATTATACATGATCTTAAATCATTTATGGCTTGATCTACATTAGCATCAGCTTTGACAAAGTCTATGGAGACCACTCCAAGTAGAATCTGAAAAGTGTTAACATAAAAAATATAAAAATTATAATTTAAAATAATACCAATATAAAACACTGTTGATTTACAGTTAAAGACTAAAAATAAAACGCATAATGCTATCTAATTATAATGTTGAAATTATGTCTCCTTTACGATACTTTTGCACATTGTCTTTAATTAAAAATAAATTAAAATACTATAATAAATTAGATATCGATATACGCATTTGACCAGGATACTTACGAACATAAATACAACTTTCTTCATTTCGACTTATCTAAAAAAATAGAGTTATACCTTTAAAAAAAAATGTCTAATAGTATAAAATATTCATGTAATACACGCCAACATTTTGTATTCCATTATTATTAAAAAATACTTCTTCAGAACTTTCAAAGTTGTTGTTTTTGTATGTGATGGGTTCGAAAAGGATTTCTAACTATTTAATTTCTATACGTCTTACGATTCGTTGTTCGGTGGTAAAAATATTTGATATTTGTAAAAAATTTAAAAATTTAATCTAGGTAATTCATTTTAAAGGATATTTTAATTTTAAATTATTAATCCTTCAAACCAATAACCACCACTTTTAAATGTACCTACAATTAAATAACATTACATACCTTTTTCGACAAATTTTCGTTTGAGTATAAACTATAAAACAATCAGTGAAAAATTATAGATTTATTTCGATGAAAAAACTACAGTGAACGTGCATCAAACTAGCTACTGCTACCATTTATTTGGATTTATAACTCAAAACTAACGTCACATCATATTTATAAGCATTAATTGTGCAAACAAAGAAAAAGGCGATCAAAATGACCTACATAATAAAAACCCCAGACTTAGTTTTTGTTCGCCGATATACGTTGCTCGCAATTTACAATATTTGTTCACTTATTTACACAAAAAACGATGTCACAAAAATCCCTGCATTCAGTTTATACAATACAAGCTTTATTGATTAAATCTCACGATACTAATATAATGGTATTTTAATGTTTTTTTTAATAATTTATGTTATAAGTTGAATAACATAATACGACTTTAGGGCATTGAGTAATATACTCTGACAAATAGCCTAATTTTCATTTTACATTAAATTCTTAAAATATGCACCAAAAGGCCATTTTTAATATTCACCATCTATCCTGTAGTGTTGTAGGTATGACAACGATTGATAAACTAATTTAACCATACAAAATCTCTCGACCAAAGCCAGTATAATATTGCTATTAGTTTTTTATTTCCTTATGCGACGAGCGGAACAAGCCACATATGAATACAAATGAAATTTAAAACGCGAAATCACTTTTAAATGTGTCTGTTGAAAACAATTTTTCGTTATAAAATGTAAAATCTTATCTAGACTCTATGAGACTAAACGAGCTATATTTTATTTTTCAAATTTCATTATTAACGACACATTTTTACTAACTTTATTATTTTTCTAGTAACAAAATCAAAAATCGTTATTTTTAGGCCTCTTAAAAAATATAGAACGCGTTTCATAAATATAACTGATATATCAAAAGTGACTTCTACAAAAGACATTTTTAATCAAATGTTTGCGATAACACAGAGAAAAAAATTAAAAGTTTTTCAACTAGAAAACTTAATACTTATTTACCTCCAAATTAGTTAAACAACTACAAACTTTTTCAACATTGGGTCTTAATACGTATTTTTGGTGTACGATTCATAAAAGAGACTCAGGGGCAAAGAAAGGCTAAGAGCAATTTTTTTGTGAGGCCTTTGTGTGTTTATGAGATTGCACTATACAAAGTGATCGATCTGACACTTATTTTCTCAAAAAACTTGAATATTTAAAAAAAAAAATTTTCCTATACATGTAAGTACATATTTTACAGTTTGTTTGAATAGATAGACAAGGTCCGCTTGTCTATCATTATCTCAAATTGTGTTATCACCATTGTGTCTGATTATTGGTGTTCTTGATTGTCAGACAAAGATAAATGATATCTTAAAAGATATTAGACTTCATTTGGTTATTCTTTTTCGTACTTTCACAGTTATTAGGTAGCCCAAATTTGATATATTTTTCAACTATATAATCCCATCCCTTTACGCCATACCCTTTAAAAATAATCGTAAAAACGTATTTATGGAAAAGCGTGTAGATCAAAGCGAAATGGTCATGAAAAAAATGTTGATGCCGTTAAAAGAGAATAATACTTTAACTAGGTTCTCTCGTCAATTTTTTTAGAAACCTTAAATTTTACTTTAAATACAAGCACTTAAGAAGTAAAAATATGTTAGAATTAAAATATAAATTGTGCATGTTAAGTAAATTATCCAAAAAAAAACGTCGAGAGAACCTAGATAAAGTTCTCATTATTTTAAATATGTAAAACAAAATTTAAAGATTATTATTTAGTGAATAATAGAGGATATGCGTAGCTATGTTTAGATAAAGTTTTTTTTAAATCTCTGACTAGGATGCTATAGTGGTTCGAAAAATAAATTAACTACCAAACAAGAATCCTAATTTCTGAACTAATAATTACACATGATAGTTTAACCTTTAAATTAAGATTTTGCAAAACATGGTCTATATCTAACTCCTTAATAAATGGAGGTATGACGTCCTCCTTAAGTGTCCCTAAGATTTTTAAACGGCAACATACATGTTATGTCATCTTTTTAATTTTCCTCCCGTCAGGTTAGGTAAGGTACGATTATTATTACCAGGAGAATTTCTTCTAAGGGATGTCAACAATATACTTTTTAGCTAATCGACTAAAAATATTTTACAAATTTTTATCAAAGTAAAGGTTCTCATATTTTGAAATTTTAACAAATTTCAATTTTTCTAATGGTTAAAAAACTAGTAGTAATTTTCTACACATGTTTTCACATCACAGCTAAAACTAAATATGACGTGCATAGGTAACATTTTTAGTATCAAATGACATTAGTATCTATATTATTTAAACTGTATGGAGTTTATGTGTGGTCGTTCACAATTTTTGTTATTATCACCATCGAGTACGTTAGTAATGTCCATAATTTTTTTCCATTTAATAATTTTTGTAAAGCAAACCAGTATTAAAATATGCTGGCATATTTTTTTCTTCGAGTACATGTTATATTTTTTTAAATGAGACACAACGGCGAACAACAAAGGCATTCTCAAGGTTATTTAATATTTTTCATTCTACAATTTTTTCGTTGTGTTTATTTAAAAACTAGCACAAATCGAAAAAAATAAGACTTATGTTCATGTTTGACTGAAAAACAGATGTTGTTTTTGTATCTATTATTTACACACTATTGATAACCAAAACATGTTATTCGTATTTAACGCCTTACATGCGAAGCGTCGTGCGTCATATGAATATTGTATACTCTTATTATTTTAACAACCGTCCAAAACAATGAGCACAGTAAATATTACTACCCATTTTTTACAATTTACTTTTCTTGCGAATGTAGGTTGTTATTTACATTAGAACAAAAGGTTTTTTAACGTTAATAACTTTGTTGATCATTTTTAACTTTGAACCTTTGTAATTAAACATTTTAATTTACTCCTGTTCAATTTTGTATAGTAGTTCATCGAGTATTCAAACCATGAGCTCAAGTCATTTTGAGAGACGTGGGCTAAAAATTTCTGAGTGCTTAAATAAGCAATAATGCTATGAATTTATTATACATAGAACGTAGACAATTTTGGGGATGCAAATTAGGTAATAAACAGTAAACAATGGGTGCTAAACACTCCTAAATCCTCTCTTAAATTGCACCTATAATAATAGATCATAATAATAAAATTAAAATTATGTTAACTAACAATTTTTTTTTGGTACGGGTTAAATACATTATCTAAATGACTTCAATTTCGGTTACTTGACTTGGATCCAGTTATTGTTATTTATTTTTAATCATATTTTTATAAAAAAAAAATGTTTAACAATTCCCCTAAAATTTAAAATTAAGAAAATCTACAAGCTGACCCTGACTTGGCAAGCGTTTTTTTATACTTTTTTTAAGTTTAACAATGATAGATTATATTTTTCTTTTAAAATGCCTTGATTTTTTTTTATAATTCTATACACAACCGGCATTGTCCCAATTAAGCTCTTTTTTTAACTACACAATTGTTAGTAATGTATCTTGATTAGAGGCCTAGACCTATAATACATACACAATTAAATATAAAATTTGAAATGAATAATTCATCTTTTTGTTCAGTAAATTCTGCTGAATGTAACGAAATCAAAATGCATACAGTATACAATTTCTTTCTCGTTATATATCATATATGGTGTACGGTACAACAAAGTAAGTACTCCCGTATCTTAGTTAAGCACCTGCTCAATTCAAACAAGGAAAATGTAAGTATGTATAGGCAGTATTGTTGTAGTTTAAGTAAGTAGTAGCCTTTACAAACAGTTGTTGTCGGACGAGTGGATAAGTAACGACACTCCATAACTGACAGTGGCAATTGAAACTTAGTATTATAATATATTGTTGTGTGTAGAGTTTCTTGAGGCGGAAAGCCGAGTTGAAACGGCGAACCAGTGTCTGATGATTATTTGAAAGATGTACGCAAATTATTCGAGTGTATTTAGTTCTCGAACGAAATTTTAATTAAAACGGCGATAAGGCAGAGGACAGCTCGTCGTGACACGTGAAATACAATTTTCTCGCAGAAAACACCTACATTGAACTCGAAAATTAACAAACCTCTTTTAAGGGTAACGAAAAGGGTTGTTTTATTCTTCATTCGCTTTCTATATAATATTATATTGTGCGTGCGCCCGCATGTAGGTATAACGTTATGTATAATATGTGCATAGTATTGTTTGCCTTGCCCAAAAACTTTTCCTCTTGCGCCCATTTTCGTTTCCGCAAATCCAAAAACGTATTCGTAGCACATCCGATTCCTCGAATGCATTTCCGCAGAAACAAATTACAAACTACCGAAGCCGTTCTAGACGCGGTATGTGCTGCTTCGAATTACGTATGACACGATGCCGGTCCCCGTGGAAAAATAATAAATTTACATGTTGTATAACAACACCGGTATCCAGTGTCTTCACTACACTATCTTAATTAATATGGCAATGTCAAATTTCGCGTATAAATTATGATTTGTACTCGAACACGACTCTTCCTGTGCTCATACATTCCTGTCACCTGTGTTGTAACCATCGGATGACTACAGCCTAAATTTAGCAATAAAAAGTGTATCAACAAAATCTATTCTAAATAAAAATAATTTGCGACAAATTGCATTGGTTTTGTTGATCACGATAAGACTTCCAAACTCCAAGCGGTCACTCGTCTTTAGTTAGATATTGTTATAACCGATCGAAAATATCGTTTAAAGCAAACTCTTCCTATCGAAGAATAATGATGAGGGGAAATTTAGATGTTCAAGTTTCTTTTATTAATGTTTTTATTATTTACAAATATTCAAATAATCAAATCAATGAACTAAAAATGCATTTTACAGCATATTCGATGAACTAGTGTTTTTAACGCTTAATTTTTGTAATTTTGATCATTTCGATTCAATATTATAATTTTAATCATCTTTTAAATTTATAATAATTTAACCTGATTATGACCAAAGATCATTTTCAGGGCAATATTGAAATTTAATTTTTAATTTTGTTGTTTCGGTTGGGGTCAGGTTTTTACAAATATACAAAATTATTTGGGGTATATTATTGTATTATATTATCATACAATACTGGTTCGTCTGAATAAAAACAATCTAAACGTACTACAAATGCAAACACCGAAATTAATCTAACTGTTAAACTAACATAAATGCTTTACACGGTAAATATCTAAGTATACACGTCTGTTATGACTCATAACTAAAAATCCGTTTGAAAATGTGTTACAAATAATATGAAAAAATAACAAATGACTTAATCACGCATTAGTTAAGTCAATTATAGTAATTATGCTCGTATAAAACTGTAAATACAAAATTAATACTTGGAACCGAGAACGTATATGGTCTATGGTTGGGGTACTGTGAAACAGCTTAGTGATAGGCCTTATTTATAAACCAGGGTTTCCAAAACATGATTTTACTTAAAACTTGTCTTTCAGTAATGAAGGGATACATTTAAGTATCATTCATTATTACTTATATTCTTGTTATTTCTGTTATTATTATTATTACTATTCAGTTTATTGTTTTCATCTCGTATATGATTTTATTTTATGTAATTAATTATTTAAACTTCAAAATTTATTTTAAATTTATTTTTATGTTTTCACTCTAAGTAGTATCATTGATTTAATATATATTTATTATTATAATATATTATTTAATATTATTGTTATTATTACTGTATAATTTAAGTATTATTATTAATATTATTTATAATTAACGGTAGTATGTTGTGTCAAAAGGCAACTTGTATATCAAGCAACTCACTGATTTATTTTTTTATTATTTTAGGAAACTGTTGTTTTTCTCTCTAACTAATTACAATTAATGTTTTGTGATGTGTCTAAAACAATGAACAGCTTACAAACTGCTCATTTTATACCTTATTTTTTCAATTAAAATATTGTTATTAATAAATTGAATTTCCATTGTTTACATTCTATTAACAATAATACAATTTTGGTTTGCAGTTGTGGGATCAGCTACGACGTTTAGAAAATCTGTCGATTTCAAAGTGATTTTATTAACACTAATGGTAGTACTATTCCCGCTGAACAATTCGTGAGTATACTAAGCCAAAAATGTCACATACTTTAAGTAAAAATATTTCTATTGAATTTTTTATGAATATTATAATTTATTTTGTTTAAAATGTACACAAACATTGGCGACATTTATTTACTTATAAGCCACACCGTTTAATTTGTCCACTACCTTTAAAGACTCAATTAATTTTTTGAACATGATTTTTACACAAAGTGATGTTTAATTTAAAAAAATATTTCATCCCAAGTTATTTTATAATATCAGCAATTTCTGTTTTTCAAATAGAAATTTGAAATATGTCTTATAGTTTCTAAAAGAAGCTCTGTCTACAAACATATTTTTTTTAAATAGCAATAATTAAAACTCATTTGAATCGTTAAAGTTGTAAAGGAGATCATGGTTAGTGAATCACTTTGTTTACATTTGTTCTTTAATACGTTATGTAAATAATGTTGTTTGGTATATTGTACAAACGACAAAGTTTAATCTGAAGTACTGCTTGGGTAAAGAATAAATAGCATATATAATATAAATGCTGAAAGTCTTACGGGACTGCAACATTTATTCATAAAGAATTCTTACCTCTTTGAGAATGTATTTTCTGTAAATGTTAATTAAAAGAATTATAATTTACCCTATTAAATTAATTTAAATGTATTTGTTTTTAACCTCGTATGTTAATTGTACAAGTATTTAAAATATTAATATTATAAAACATTAAGTATTTATATTCTTGTATATATTTCGATTTAGCTATTGAATTTTGATTTTATAAGAATTCTACGATGAGTCCATTTCTTCCCTCCCCCACAACATTCGAAATTAGAACTTCTTCTTGCACCAATTGTTCGTGCAAAATAATTGTACACAAACGATGGAACTTGGTGCACATTTCTGTAAAAACGATTGACGTGATAAAAAGTTCTAATCTTCAAAGTGGACGGGGCAGGGAAATGGACCCGTCCTATCATTTACCATTGGGGTTTTCTATGCTGTAATTTGCATATTATCAGAACTGATTATGTTAAATTTTAATGATATTTGATGCACAATCTTTTTATTAATTTAAGATAATCTTGTATCTATATTGATTTTGATGTAATAATTGATTACAATAAATTATGTATTATAAAACACAAGAAGCCTTTATTTTTTTTGTCTATGCTATTTTCATGTTGTTTCTTTAAACTGTAATATTAATTATATTTAAGAACTCTATTGTTTTGTTTAAATAATATACTATATTATATGTTCATAATATTATGGTTATCAAAATTATTGTTGTTATTGTTATTCGTTGACTTTTGATTTCAACAGTAATTTGCGACAAAAACAGAAACAAACGTATTGAAAAATGTATTGACTAAATTATCAACTTTTTTTTACAAGTGTTACGATTTTATGAAGTAAGATGAAGAAGTAACGGTTTTTCCTACTTTCGGATTAACTTGCATTAAATTTATCATCTTTATTCAAGTCATTATAGTAAGTATCTAAATTCTGACACATAAATTAAGATAATATCTCAAATAGACAAATCATTAAATGATGCTTGATTAGAGAATCGCGTGAACAAACACATAACGTGCACCTATCTCTCCTGCATACTTTATTACAACAGTTTAACACCCAAGAGAAGAACGATATTTTTAAGAATTTGTGATAAAATGATTGGATATATGTCAGATAGTTGAATGTAAAGGTCTAATACTTTGGCATCGCAAAACGTTAGAAAATAAAAAAATTTTACAAGGTCAAGTATGTATTTAAATCTCATTTGGCAATTATTTTGTTAGTGCTAAAAACCCCACCGCTTAATCCATTTCCCTGTTGTTTAGTAGTAATGCTTTATTTTTGTATTATAAGTACCTCTTATGCACATACATAATAATATGGATATAATTAAAACACAAAACTCCAGAAAAGCTTAAATTACAAAAAAACCAATTCCAATTACCAAGTTCAGCTATTTATTGGATCATTATTTTTTTAGGTTAGCCAAGTTTGGTTTTGAAATATTATGTTATTTTTAAATGTTTTGTGTAATAAACCAAAATTCAATTTTTTGTGGGTTAAATTTTTCTGGCACAATGTGCCTCAAATATAATGCATCAAACACAGGGAAAAGTAATAACATGAAAAACGAATTAATTTTATGTTCCTTTTACAACAATAACTTAGGTAACCACTCTTCTTTTGAACCTCTTCAGAAAGTCCTTCGTTGACTAACGATCATGTTATTATAAATTAAAACTTTTCGAAGAAAACAGTCAGATTTTATTTTTTTTTTTTTACAAATCCAATTTCTGGTTTTGTAAATTATTTTATGTCATTACTCTATCGTTTAAAAAAAAAATACTTAATACAAAATATAACACCATTTTATAATATTATGCATTAAATTCATTTGATTGCATATTTTTTTGAAAAAAACTTATTTTCTCGTGTTAAACAAAATGTTAACCTTGAAATATTAATAACTTGTGGTTGTAAAAACAAGGCTTTTGACGAAAGATAGTACATGTTTTCGACAAAAAATTTAGAATTTTTAAACGAACGATATTTTAGCTAATCAGTGGTATAATATAGTATCTATTACGATGCTACTAAAATATACATTTAAACACAGCAAGCAATACACATACCAGATGAACAAATGACAATAATACATCACTATTTTATTTCACACTTATATTTGAAAAACCTAACCGTGGTATTAAAATAATATTATGTGTATATGAAAAATTAGGCAACGTGAAAAAACACGAATATAATTGAATAGATTTAACAAAGTTTTTCGTTGGTCATCATATTATCTGTTAAAAATGAATTTTTTAATCAACAAGAAATTTTTTTTAAGGAATTATTGTAGAAACTCCGTTTCTATGTAATCACAAAAACACTCAATTATATATTACACGAGTCCAATTAAATAATGGTTTTAAATAAAAGCAAATCGTACCTTTTGATGTGAACAATTTTAATTGTGACTACCTCTACCCAACCATTCAGACAACGCTTCGTGTTGAAAACACTATTTGTAATAATGATGCATAATAATAACTAAACTCTGCTAGAAAAAATGTTTGTCGAATGTTAGAACTTTTCAAGTTAGCCATTTAGGGCAAATTTTACACAGACCTTGGAACATTGAAGTGAACTTAGAATTTAGTCATTGGACGATAAAAACATGTATTTTCCATTAATATAGAGAATTCAGATCGTTGTCCCGTCACTGTAATAATGCAATTTGTATCAATTTATAGGTTTTCTTTTTAACATTACAAGGTAAAACTTATAGTATGTATATGTAGGTCTAGTGTCTGCGAGAAAGGAAAAAAAAATAATCGTTTTAAAGGTTTCTCGTTCAAGTTACGCTAACGTCCAATGAGCACAACTCAGTAATCCCTTAGGCGATTTAACTGCACCTTAATTGGAAAGCTCGAAGCTTCAATAACAGGAGTTATGTGGGCAGCTTTAGATGACATTCAACTTTTCCAAGTTTTTTTTCATTTAATATACAAACAACATTATGTAATAATAATAACAATAAGTTTATCAAACGTCGAAACATATGACTTCAATCAATATAATACAGTTTAAATTTATTATGAGTACTAATTATCATTGATGAGTGTTAATACTTTTTACGCGCCCCCTGCAAATTTGTATTTTTAATTATTAACAATAACAATAAAAAGTTCAACTATTATGACACAATTAAAATATTATATTAAGTTTTATTACTATTAGATTACAGATAGTAAATTTTATCGGCTTTTGAAAAACATTGTAAAAGCAAGAAACTTTTAGATAAGAAACTGTTAGAGTTTTATTAATAGCGTATAAGTACAGAAAACTGGATAATTAAGCCCAGCAGTAGGGTGGAGCAAAAAAATGTTTTCCCACTAAAAGTTAATCTTTATAGTAAAATAAATAAGTTTATCAAAAATTGGGATCATTCGGTAAAGTTTAACAACGCGATATAAAATACATTTTAGGCGTTTTTCATTAATTCATTAATTTGTACAATTCATCGTCTTAAACTAAAGCTATTCAATATTTTCTGAAACCGTCGGTTTTGGTTAGAATCCCAAGAAATTACTCTTTCGTTTGATATAATAATATATAAAATCTATGATCGTGTAGTAGGGATTCATAGTAATAAATAAGTTTTGAATAAATTAATATACCTTTTTTTTATTATTTCCAAAGTCAAACTCAAAAAAATGATGAAATATTTTATTTTTAAATTCACAATTGTATGATATAATCTAAAAAAAAGTTTAAATTGTGTTAATAATTATTTATTATTTATTATATAGATAATTAATAGTTATTAATTGAGTATTAATTTAATTAGAATTTGTTAAGGTAATTGAACACCGACTACTTCTAAGGAGCCTTGTATAGACAATATTTTTTGTATGTATGAAAATGTCTATTGATTTGCTAATATATAAACATTAGTGTGTGTGTGCTGTTTATCAGTGGCCATTTAATATAGCAGTAAAATCGTCAAACTACGTTGCCAAACATTTTATTGAAAAAGATTTCAATGACAAATGTCAATCCGTAGATAAACTTCCAATCTTTAAATTTGTTTTTAAGCAAGTATGCGCTAAAGCGGCTAAAAATATTATATTACTTTCTTAGTTTAACCTCTACTAAACTAAAAGACATTTTAGAGAATGAATAATAAAACAACGTTGTCAACGGTATTGATTTTCGGACCACTCATTGTTGGTTTACCACTGAAAATCAAACATTAAATAATAATAGAGTATAACTTATGCATATGAAGCTATATCCCTTTTTGAGTTCTGTAAACACCTGTACCGTTAAAGTATGTAATGCATTATGCAGGTATAGAAATTTATCACGCAGGTCATCTTGATGTAGAATGTGCAAACGATTTTTCTCTTAAGGCTTCAACTCACAAGTGTCATCTACTGAAATATTTATAATGAACAGTCGTAATATTAAACAGATATTATGTGGACTAAAGGAAAAGTCTTGAATTTCGACTCACGCCAAAATCTTGGTATGCCTATTAAAAAAATTAATTATTTTTAAACATTTTAAGTTATTTTCTTTATATTATATTGTTATTAGTTTTTAAATATAAGTATGAGGTAATAATTGTTTTCGTTGTCAAACAGCCGTTAAGCGTAAATTTACAAAATAATAATACTTTAGACCTGATTTTGGAGATCTAACATGATACTAAATATATATTGTACTCGATTTATCATAATAATGCATTAAAATGTGTTAAAATAAAGATATACCATAATAAATGTCTATACATTTATTAGTTCTCTTTAATGTATAGTTATGTATAGCTATTTATATTTGAGAAGCAATTAGATCAGACGACATTAGCGCAACTAAAGAGGAGCAGTGGAGTACAAATCCTCTTAAACACCTTCTGGCTCTCAGAGAATGTGTGTAACCAATGAAGCACATCCCCAAAGTAACATTTTTAATTTATACCGAAATTCTAAAGAAAGATTTAAGAATTTGCAAAAGGTCTGAACTTCCCCGAGCCTTCTATAGCTATGGACGACGATTGATTTGAAAAGTAATTAACACCAAATCTAGTGGTTGCCAAAAAATGTCAACTTAAACTATATATCATGTATGTGTCATTTACACATAAATTGTACGATTAACAATCTAGCGCCAGTTTACTTAACAGTTAACCTTATGTACCAGCAAGTAAGCCATCCAAAATCCTGATGTGTTGTTAATGGTGTATTATACAGATGTCTAACGTTAAAATACAATGGTCTTTTGCAATTTGGCAATATTTTTCTAATTTATTTGATCAAATTACTTTGGGTCTATAATAAAATGTCTCGGATTAATCAGTGGAAGAGCAATCATCCACAAAAACTAGGGTACGATTCCCGGTCTGACAAATACATTTTTGACTTGGTAAAATGAAGATGCGATGTTGATAAACACACTTAATGACAAACACGAAACATCCAATGAACTTAACGAGACGACAATAACATGCTTAGCATTGTATTTATAGTATTAGGATGGATACGATTAAGGTTGGCCGTCTGTCTATAGTAATTTGATGTCATGTATTGTAATTATTAACAATATAGGTAATCAACATAATTTTCTGATATTTGTTAACTGTTGATTTTACACAAAGTACTTGGGATTTTGGTATGGACAATGTGCAAGTTCTCCCTGTTTTAAGTTTTTCTTAATAATACAAAAGTTTGACTACCATTTTTGGTGATAATCTTAAATGTTATAGTCCAATTTATCTTCAAATGAATGGCTGTTTATTTTTTATTAAACGTTATAGTATGTTGATAGTCGTGTCTTGAAACATTTCATTTTTTTATTATTTACCCAGATCATGAAATTGCCGTTTAATAACTGATATTCAGTTCGGCTAACGTAGCATAGTAGAAAAATAAAAGTTGTCTACTTGTTTTTCTATTACATAAAGCAACTTGAAAAATAATTCATTTTATTTACGTCATTGAGGATAACTGATTTTTATAAAAACTACGTACTTCCAAAATATGAACTCATTGTAAGCTCTGACAGCTTAAAGAAGTCATATTTTATAAGTATTAAGTAGTTTGTTTTATTTACCAATCAATATCGTGCAAGAATAAATATGGACACAGATATTGGCCATATTGACTTCCAGACCCATGAAAATGGGAACATTGAAAATCCAAACAAATTAAAAATGCTTGAGTTATGGAAACTATTTATGAGAAACCAAACAACACTAAGTGTCAAATACTACATTAATTTGGAACAGTTTAAAGCGGTGTTTTTTTCAGAAAATGCACAAAATGTTTGGTGAATTAAACGAAATTATAAGTGTTCTTCAACATTTAAGAAGAAAAATTGACAAAAAAATTGCGAAAGTATGTGGGGAACATCATGATAGCTTTTATTATAAATATGAATCTTTAAAAGCGGAACTAGGTGGCAGATATATGGAATATCTAAAAAACTTAGATTTAATCGACAATTTTGATCCACTTTGGGGTTATTTCACCAATTTGTTTACACAAATGGAACAACAGAATGAAAGAGCAGAAACAACTAAAGCAACATTCCAATTTCCTTTTACTATAACGGCTGCAAACTATGAACACAAACAATTTTTGGGCACTTTTGAAGAAAATAAAAAATAAAAATTAAGGTATGATATTTTATAAATCTTACCTTTACATACTCAGCATAACCTATTAACAACAGTTAATATAAATATATATATATATATATATAAATGTGTGTGTATACAAAATACAAATATATATGTTTTTTGAATCATTTATTCATTAGCGTACATTCAATTTTGCTCTGCAGGGGGGGGGGTTGTAAAAAAATAATTCTATGTTTCAAAATTATTAACAACTTTTTTTCCATCAAAAAATAATTATCAATTAAGTGATTGTTGGAATATTTTTCCGAAAAAACTCGATAGTTAGATTTTGAAGAAATAACGAAATTTTTGGACCTATAGTTCCGAAGGTATTTTAATTATTACTTAGGTGACTGCGATTCCCCTAATTTAAAAATACAAAATTGCATTTTATATTTTTATCTTTCATAAAATTTTAAATTCGTATTTTTAATATCAGAATAGGTATGCATTTTAGCATTTAATAGTTAACAAAAGTCAAAACTGTACAAAACAGTTAAGAGTAACATTGTAACAATTATACAATAAATACCTATAATATATTACTTATTCACAATTTGTTTTGGCTCTGGGGGTGGTTTGAACCTGAAAACTCTATGAATACTTAAAATAATAATTAATAATACTAAATTCATATCTTTTAAGTATAGGCTTTTGTTTTAACTTTTAATTAAAAATGTTCAACTAATTTAAATTTCATCCGTTAATTTATAACCATTCCAATTGACCAACTATAATATACATATTCATATTTTTTTTATACTGGTATTTTCATTATTGACAAATTGATACAATTCAATAAATTGTTAAATTAAAATCTTTTAAAAGGTCAAACCTATCGAATACTGACTGAATTAAATATTTTTATTTGTTCTGCAATTCAACTAAACAAACTTACATTGGTAAATTTCAATAAAACATACAAGCTAAAAAATAATTTTTTTCGGTTTTGTAAATAATTTTTATACAACATATTATTTTTGACTGAATACTTTGTTTCATTAAATTATTATTTTTAACCATTTCAGGAATACAAAAAAACGGACGTTAACAATGAACTCTCATATTGATACATATAAAGGTGGAATTATCGAAATTAAGTTAAAGTAAAATATAAAAATGTATACATTATTTTAATTTTTGCTAAATATAATAAATTAATGTCTATAATAAAAAATGTTTGAAATATATGAAATGAAAAAATCATTTTCACTAAAAGTAACCTTACAAATTTGTTTAATGTTTATTTCCAAATATATCTATTATTATTAATACATTAAAATAAATTGCAATAAAAACACATATTAAAAATATATTACATATTTGTTATTTATTTACTTCTATTGTATATTAATTCTTTGTTTTTTTTTTTTTTTTTTGTAATACGGTATTATAATACTTATTTCTTTTAGTTTTTTATTAGTAGTAGAAGGAAACTAATTAACTTGAAGATTTAAATGGTCGATTATGAAAAAACACAAAATTTAAATACTACTTTTAACATACATAAAAAAAATATCAATTTTAATCTCTAATACTAAAAAGCAACAGGTAACAAGATTCAATTTTATAATTTTTAATGTATTTAAAATCGCATTTGTATAATACTGCCACTAGGACTTAGGTATACTCATTAAATATCGACTAGAGCAGTTGAGATTTCTATATTCTGTTGGTAGTTCTATTTTACTTCTCATGATGCATACTACAAACTGAAAAATACAAATAATTAATTTTTAGATAAAAAAAATCAAGATGACTATTGAAAATATTGATTATAGTCGATAGTAAGTGTATTTTACCTAAAGTAGAGCTAAGAAGTAATTTTAAAATAGTACATTGTTAGCGTTTTAAAGTGTAGGTACTACACGTCTTTTTATTTGTGTATTTAAGTACACTTGCCAACTACAATAATAAAAACTTCGCAGTAACATAATTTACAAGCCAGACTTCTCACATCAGTAAACAACTTCCGTGTTAGGTGTAAATATCGTGTGTTTTAACAAATAGCAGATTGAAAAACAATAACATTTGAAAAAAATATTTACGCATCGCAAGTTAGTCGTTTGTTAAGCTTATATATTTTAAACGTGTATACCTAGTACGAACGGTTTTTTTTTCATAAAATGAATTTACAATTTGTTTTTTTTTTTTTAATCCTTTATTCAAACGTTTGCAGCATATCTACAGAAAAGGGCAATGAATTACCCTCGGCCGCTGAATTAGACGAAAATGCAATCGCAGGACTAATAAATGATGAAGCGCAAGAAAAATGGGGTTATATTTTAAAACAAAATATTTTATATAATGATAAATATCATGCCCTAAAAGCTTATATTGATCATTCTACCGGCGAAGTAAAAGACTTTAATGTCCACAAAATAATCGAGGAATATGTCAAAAGTGACGAAATGGATAAGCACGCAAATCTAGATGATATACGTAGCTTAATTCAAGATGCTACCCACTGTGCCGGGTTGAAGTATACTAACCTGTTTGCAACGATAATTCTCAGAGACTTGTTACCATTCTTGATGAATACCGTCAATATCAATAAACCAACAAAAAATCAGATGTCACAAGATGAAATAGATGCGATGAACAAAAAAGTTAACGAAGAATGTGATAACGACCCTGAAATTCAGAGTTCACAAGCCTCGTTAGACAGTAAAAAAGAAAAAGACGAACCCAATGAAACCTGTACTTGTAACAATGACATAGAAAAAGAGACAGGCACCGATAAAGAATTTAACATCATCACCGGATCAATCTTCGAAAAGTATTGCATGAATTTCAATATAGTCACATGTAAAGGTAAAATTAATTGTCATGGAATGGGCAAATTAGAGGGGGATAAATTGGAAATTGATTCTACATGGCAAAATTTAATACGAAAGAGAGCCGTTCAAGATATAGAATACCGTATTAATCTAGAAGAATTTAATTCGATTTTTAATCGTCTTGTGACGGTCAAACCTGTTGTCATCGATTTATACGAGATTGTATGCATTCTTATTTTCACAGTACGAAATACTGACGAAAAATTACAGCAAAAATGCTTGCCTCATAATGGGAGTTTTGTAAAAAAGTACCAATCCTTAAGCAATGAACTCGGTGAAGAATTCGTCCAATTCATTAAGAAATTAGATGAAAATGGAAATTTTTGGAAATCACTTGACGACTTTTTCTCACAGTTCGACGATTCACCGGAGGAAACGTCGAACCAAATGTCAAAGGTAGCTTTGTGGGACTCTTTATGGGAAAATTTGAACACAACTGTAAATGATGACAAACAAATGTCGAAGGTAATGCTAGAGGTAGATTTGTGGGAAGCTTTATGGAAAGAATTAGACAAACCTGTAGATGATGACATAAAACAAGCTAAATATCGTAACTTGCTAGGTATAATTCGCGCTAACGTCCCGTTTTATATATATCAAGCTAATTTTAAAGACGAAAATACTACGGAAGTTTCTTTGGACATAACATATGATAAAGAAGCAGAAGAAAAAAGGTAATATACAATACAATCTAATTGTGTACTAAGTACTCACTAGTGTATCGATGATGAAGACGTACCTATTTTTTAAATTCAAATTTTTTCAAAATTGTACGATTTAATTAAGCAGCTATAATAAATTCCATAAACTATAACTACAATAAGTAATACGTTTAAAATAATTTTGTAGAACGCAATTTAGATCACATTGAGAAAACCATGTGTCAGTAATAAAATGCTCTATTTTAGCTTTTTAATAAAATCAAATTAAATTTAAAAAATGCATACCTAGTATGCATTTTTTTCATTTTTAGTATTTTAACACGAACTACTTCATTTGAAATACACCGCTTTAGATATAGGTATAGCTAAATGTTTTACGTATATTAACTAATAATATTATTATTGAATTCTATATTTCATTAACTCATTACTTTCAGCCGTTTCGAGAATGCAACAATCCGGAAATTATCGTTCAGCACTTCTTTTGAAAATGATTTTGAGAATTTTGAGAATGAAGATGCGGAAGAATCCAACAATAACGTTTCTGATGATAAAAACACTGAAGTTTATTATTTTAAAGGAACAGTTTATCTTAATAATGCTAATTTATCTTAATACATAAATGTCATTATGGACATTATATTATAAAAAATAACCTTAAATTATGTTTAGGTAATAATTTTAAAATTATTTAATTTTATTCATGCATGAATACCGATTACAATTAAAAAAAACGCTTAAAATAAAAAATACAGTTTAATTTCTCATGTTAATTAAATAATAAACTATAGTTGGAATGCAATTTGGGTTACATGTATTATTATAATAATAATTATTACAGTAAGTTCAGGTTTATACACCCATTTTTGAATTATTATAAATTGTTTATGGGTATTTTCATTTTCGTGTATGTTAATACTTAACAAATATCTGGTACGATATAGCGATTACAAAAATTACATTAAGTCTGATGGCCAGTAAGATAGGCGGGACGGGAGAGCAATACAGATGCCCCACAGACATAAGACAAATGAAATAGCTAACTTTTGTTCTAGTGGATATTTTTAAGATTTTTTTTTTTAAATTAATTTATAATAATTTGCGCTATAAGCACCACATTTTTATTGCACTTAGCTATTTTACTTTTTTTAATTATTTTTTTTAAAAAAAATTCAAGATAGCCATTTTATTGAGAATAATTTTCTGAGAATTTTGACTGGCCCATAATAGTTTTGGATCAAAACTTTTTAAGTTATTAAAGGTTAAAGGATAGGATGGGAGGTGGAGTGCGGTAGATAGTTATTTTTATCTGCACGCATTACACCTATTCTCTGTAACATCAGCGATTGTTATCAGTGAATAATATCCTCTCCAATACTTTTTCAATAACGTCATACCTAATACAAATTAGGTTTCAAAAAAAAATATGTCCATATTGAAAACTATACGAGATTTTCACACTCTTTCTTCATTAAAAAATTATTTAGAGAAAACCACGCTGAAAATGCCCAATTTTAACTATACAACCAAATTTTAAAAAAGTCACACTTGTAGGTACGTTTCAGCAACTTAGAACTTTTGTGAAATCAATAATTCAACAAATAAACTTCTTCCTTGGTTATAAATTTAGCCGATTGTTGGTTGTTTTTACTTTTTAATAGGCTCTCGACTGCGGGCGGTCTTGTCATAAATAACACAAATGATAAAAAGTGGCCCGTGGCGGAGACAAAGGTATTCATACTGGCTAACAAATGATTGAGGGAGAATAAAAAAAAAAAAAACGAGAGGATACAAGAAAAAAGGACACCGACGGCTAAGGAGTAAAAAAATAGTAGTTTAAAGAAAGAAAAATCAGAAGAGGTAGATTCCATTAGAGATCTTTTAGAATTCGCTGCTATTGATGACGAGCTGTTGATTAAATACGAGCACGAAACACATGCTCTTAATTCCCACGACGACAAATTGTCCATTCAAAGCTAAAGGGTTTCCTTCTCCGTCGTGTCTCTCAGCACCTCCGCCATCATTCTTATGATTTATTATCACAACGATGGTCGCCACGCACAATCATTAACCTAAAATGCATCACTTGTATACAAGCAGTACCACAATAATAACAAAACTGACAACAAGCTTGGTTGACTAAAAAAAAAGTACCTATTCTGAGCATCTGCGGAGATTCTACAAAAATATACGGTCAAATATATATTTTTAAAAAATATTTGAAAAACTTAAATATTGACCAACATTTTAAAAATAAGAGAGCTTATTAATAATTTTATTATTAAAACTTGAGGTTTTCTCAAGTACTCAGAAATAATCTAGTTACTAGTAGAATTTACTAGATTTTAAAATTAAACTAAAAACTTCAAAAAATTTGTAGTCACACTTCTTTTATTGAGAAAAAACAAAAAGCTTAACAACACGATTTTAAACTAATATTATTGCCAATAATCTGTAAGGTAGCATTTTATCTATATTTTTCATCTTTTGTTAAGCGGAAAAGCGGCAGAATCCGCCTACAAACAGAACTATAGTTATTATTCTCCGGTAAATCGCATGTTAATGGCTTCTAATAAAGCAATACATGATTACAACTTGGATTTATTTACGATTCCTTTAGCCAGGTAAAAAATGATTCTTAATAATGCCGTTTAATTATTTTTGTATAATTTTTTAATTAGTGTTATTGTAATTGTTTATAATTATTTTTAAAAATTATTATCCTGTAATCTATTGCCCCATGGGCGTCAACTATTTTTTATAGTTAAATAAATAAATAAATAAATAAATAGAATAGGAAAGTTTCAAAACACCATTCAACTCAATTTATGCTCACATTCCAACATTGTCTGTTATTAAACATTTTGAACTTTCAAAAACTTCACTCCAAAAAGAAACATCATCACTTCTTACCCATCTACTACTGACTGACACTAGTTATCAATCTGCTTTGGTTGTTGTCTAATGCGTTCTTATTCTGAACAGAGTATAGTAATTAGAGTTATAATTGCTATTGTTTCTATTGTATACAACAACAATTTGAGAAATTAAGTTTTTAGTAGTGGTTTTTGACATCACTAAACTTCAGTAATAATGCCAATTACTATTATATTATAAATAATTTTTAAAAAAATTTTGGACAGTGTAATAATAATTTTAATTGAAAAATAGTGAACTTTTAACATTTAATTTTTACATTAATCTTCATTAGTCTTTGTCAATCAGATCCTCCACTTCTGTAGAAGATATTTTATTTTCTGAATGATCGCTAATAGTGTTTTCAGACATTGATAAAGAAGACGGATCAAGTTTTGCAATTCTCATTTCCATAGAATTTAAGAATGGTGAATCTTTATATTCTGGCAACTTGACAAACGTCAAAAATATTTTCAAAATCTGATTAGGTGTTAAATCTCCAAACTGTGTAAATATTGTAAGTCCTTGAGCAATGAAATGTGGACCGCAGCCAGGTATCCATTGTCTAAAAAACAAAATCATTATTTAAAATTAAAATAAATCGAGCAATATAATTTACCAATTTCAATAAAACTATATGTTACTATAAAAAAAATTATTGAAACAATCCAAATATTTAAAGTAGACTCAACAAAAATTAATAAAAAAATAAATAGTAACGTATGATTGTATTATAAAGTAATTTAAAAATGTATTTTTGCACTTACTCCATCAATGGTATAACAAAGTTTTTGCGACTCAGTGTATGATGCTTGACAAAATACCAATAGGGTTTTAGTAATTCTTCCGTAAGACCGGTTTTTCCCAATATATCGCTGCGCCCGACCACTCGAGCTAATATAATAGACTTCTCGTCAACTTCTTTTAGCTGGCCAATTAAAAATACAAAATTATACATTAATTACTTAGCTAAAAAATGTATTAATGAAATTATACTTTATATGGATATATAGGAAAAAATCATGTTAAAAAACTAAACTTGTTTACCTCTTTAAAGCGAGACTTTTTACTTGACGATTTAGTTGGCTTTGGAGGTAAGAAAGCTGATCTTGGATAAGTTTTCAATAACTCAATTTCGAAAAAAGACTGAAACAGTATAGTCTGTGTTTTGTAATACTTTTCACCGGTTACTGGGTCACTAGAATATCTCTGTAAATCATTTAAAAGTAGAAAACAATATAATACTGATCAATTAAGTTGAAAATAACTATTGTTATAACTCACTTACAATAAATAATGATGGCGGAAGAAAAAAATAAAACTCGGGTCTTCCGTAAGTCATCAAACTCGTTTGGAACACAAAACTGTAAATCAAATAATTGAGAAATTTCCTATTCGGCAATCCAGCTATTATTCTTGTCCCTATATCTAATCAATAAAGTATTTAAATATAAATTTTACAATTACATTGGAAATTATACTTAATCAATATGAATTATTACCTAAATAGTAAATTTACTATTGCGTATATGATTTCATAATTTTATAAGAATATTAAAGCCTATTGAAAAAAAACCTTATGATTTCCTTGTATTTTTGAAATACAACCAATATAATGAGTATGTAACCGCCATTTCTCTTTTTTACAGAAAAACAATGTTAATCTAATTATTAAGAAAATATATGTACAAATGAAAAAGTAATTAATATTCAATTTATTATTAATTGACAGTATTAAAATACTCATTAAAACATGAAAAAAAAACAGATATTGAATACCAAATTAAATGTCGCTTATGCCACACCACACTGGTTGTATACAAAACGTAATATATTTCTTACATTTTTTAATTTTAAATAAATCTTGTGTCACTATTGTGATAGCTTTGAAGGCATAATAAAGATTTAGTTAAGAGTAATGTTGAACTTTAGTGTTTTACAGGCGAATGTATTAGATTTTTAGAAAAACAATGACATAAATTTTATTTTTGACAAAAGTGTCACTTGTCGGCCTTGAAGGCCAGACCATTATGAGAAAATGGTTTCTAGACATATTCACTGCCCGGGATGGATTGATCCTAGACCACAAACAGTTTTCAGCCGGTTTAATAGGAACAAATAATTTTAATTAAAGGTGATGAATGATTGGAGGCGAGATAGTCATAAGTCATAACCGAGCATTTTTTATACTTATATTATGTTACGTACATAAATATGTTAGCTAGTATGACTAGTATGAATCACCTATATGATTAAGGTATTCCGTAATTACTTACTTTCTGATTGCCACGGCTGTGAAGGTAGTCTGATGTCTGATAAAAATTTTGAAACCCTGTTACCACGATCAACTCTATCTAGGAATTCAATTTTCCAAAGCAAAAGCAAATTTCCACGGTTCAAACTAATTCTATCATCGTATTTTGATATTAATTCCTAAAATCCAGATAAATTATGATTTGGAAAAAAAATTTTAAAAAGTAAATGTACCTATACTTACTAATAAAAATGCTTTGAATATTTCAGAGTCATTTTCATAAATACACATATCATGATTTGTATTTTTCAAAATTTCATGTGAAATCAAACACGGTCCAGGATTGGCTTCTATTAATCTAAGTTGTTCGCCATTACTGCTTTTGGTTAAATTTGAACATATTATTCTCGCTGCATCTTCTAAAAACAATAAAATGTTTTAACAAGTTTTTTCATTACCAGCATAATTTTGTATTGGGATACATTATTTTGATGACATAATGTTAACATAGGCCATTCTAGTAATGCTTTGTGAGCGATAAATTTGGAAATGTTCAATATTTATACAATTACAAAACATTCCTATTAAAATTACTTGCCTTTTAAACAAAAAAATATATTTGGGAGTCAACTTTACCTAACAACCATTATCAATCAAAATATTCAGAAACAGCTTAAGCAGCCCATGTAAGGCTGCCCCCTACTAGTGAGGTTTCCTGGAAAATTTGCTATTTGGCATGGTTTGCTGGCCAAAAGCTGTCTGACCAAATGTCTAACTAGAAGCAATGAGTGCAAACAAATTACCGTCTTATCCACTAAGCCACTCATCCTTCTCAAAAAAAAAATATTACACTATAATAATAGGTAATTAAAACAACATCCCCGTTATAGATGTGCTAAAAGCAGTATTACACCATTATACTTTGTCTATACCGAGCCAATTTTGTTACCGACATCTATTGCTACGACCACTATTACCTGCTATTCAGGGCATTCATAACAAAGATGTAAAGACAATTATTTTTAACAAAACTTAACATACCTGCTACATCAGGACAATGAACAAACATAGTTTCTGGATATTTGCGACATTTGTACAATGTACTTTTTCCACCTTCGTCATTATTGAGCAAATCAGTTTTCAACGACGAACTAATACTGCACGACCGTTTTCCACAGGTCCACTTCAAAATTGATGTCTGGGTAAACCATGACACATTTTTAAAAAAAATCATTGTTTTATGGAAAACGCATTTGACTAGTAATACTTGTATCTTGTGTTTATTAAATTGTTTTTTGTAAGTCTTAAATAACAATCATCTTTTAATCAATGAACAACCGGCAACAGCACTATGCTGTCAGTACAATTTTTAAATTTTATATAAATATGTAATTCTTTTATCTTTATAACTCAAGCTTTTATCACTAGTTCACACTATCACAAAAATGCATTGATAAATGATAATACATGACAACGCAGGTGTCACTTGCTGCCTGCCGGCATATAGTAGGTACATGAATGCCGGTTTGTAAATAAAGTATTTACATTTTTTTAATAATTCATTATTACATAATGAAACCCACAAACTGATCATTTTCCTCAATAAATCATCACTTAAAAATTTATTTTTTAGACGAAGGTAAAAAAATATATTGTGTCATTTTAATACTTATGCTCATTCATATCCATTTGGCTTACATTTAAAAGAGTCAATAAAAATCTGGATAAATTGAAAACCAATTTTTTCGTTTCAATTGAATGAATAAAATAATTGAATTCGTTCCACTAAATTCATGGAATTCTATAATACACTAATTTTCTCTTTCCTATAACTCTATGCCTGATTCTATAACAACTGGTGAATATAAAAATGAGCTATCAAAATTCAATTGTTCACATTTAAATCTTCAACAAATAAACTTTTTAAAGTACATTTTAAAAATATACTATTTAAAGGTGTACATATAATTTAAGCAATTAAAACCTTCCTCTGTAAAAAAAATTATTTAACCAAAAAAATATAACATACAATATTATTTCAGTTAAGCAAAATTTTATTATTGGCTAATGTTTAAAATTTTTCTTGTAAACCATAACCTATAATAAATGTAACATAATAAAACGTATTTAAAACAAGTTACAAGTTACAATTTATAAATTATAACTGTGCTAAAAATGCTAATAATTCCAACTATAAGAATTTTATAAAAACAACATTATTAATTTAGTTATTTTTCTGCTAAAAAAAAAAATAATAAAAAAAATGTACTACAATAAATATAAAATTTGAGAAACTAAAAAATTAAAATATACTAATAAACTATTGTCTAATTAACAATCCTAGACTATGTGTAAATGAAAGAATACCTATTTTGTGAGTCACTCAGTTTATAAACCAAACTACCGTCAAGATCAGTCGACTCTTTCGTTGGCATGCTTGACATAAAATCTTGACAAAACTGATATACTAAAAAATAATAAATACAAATTAGCATAATATTGTGTAATTAAACAAAGAAATTGATTAAGTTATTTATGAATACATTTAAAAATAAAATTATTAATACTTCATTAATTCATTGCAAACATTAATTATAAAGAAAAACTATTTTAATTATGATCGAGATGGACAGGAGTACAATTTGGACCACTAATTACATTTAAAAAAAGCAGCTCTTTCTAGTTGTTATCTAGGAATAATCAATCTAACAAATGGCCCAAACCTGGTCAACCCAAAAGACAACACTTTCGCCTGTCCATCATCAATTATAATAAAATTTAAAAGTCAAATGTATTACAAAGGCTTGACGTGTCATCTTCTGCAACTAAATATGTATCAAGACCGTTAGCCAGTTTCCAACAAGAGTTGACATATTCTTGCTCAATAGTTTCCATCATTTCAATATCAATACTGTCTTTTAATGCACTATTCTTCCAAAGCTTTGTAAATTGTTCACATGCATTCCATAACTAATAAAACACAAATAAACAGGTGTAATAAACTAACGATAAACTTTGAGTTTGTTTTTTATAGATAACTTAAAAGTTTTAGAACTTACTTAACCTATTACAAAAAATAATATGTTTCATTTACCTCACAAAAAACAACGTGAATTGCCAAAGTAAATTCTAAATCTTCTTTAGTAAATTTTGCTTATTACAGAAAAAAGTATTGTGTTTAAGAATTGCACAGACAAAAATATTAATTTGATTATTTTCGCTAATGAACCAAGGTCATCCTTTTTTTTTTTTGTGACGCCAAATTATAAAACAATATTTTTCTCCGGAAAACACTCTAATATACTATTTTTTAGAGGAGAGGGGAAATGAAACATACAAATTTTTTATTCACATATTTCAGTGTTTTCCTAATTTTTGTACAGTCTATAAAAAAATGAAATATAATATGATAATATTTAAATTTTACTAATTTAATCCTAGTAATTTTATTTTTTAACTAACCAAAGCCAAAGCCTGGTACGATAATTTTTCCATCAGACCATCCAACATACACATTTTTATTGCCTGACAAACATGTGCTTCAAGAACTATAAAAAAAATATAATAATTAAAAATAGAAACACAGTATGGAAATAAATAAACAACTGACCCGTCTCAAAAGCTTCTAAACCATTTTTTACTTTTTCAAAATTATCAAATAATTTTGTTCCCAAGTATTTGGAGGCAACGCTAAATAGATATGTTTTCAACTTATACGTAGTTGACAATATCCATAATCGTATAAAATACATTCGTTTGACGTCCAGCGAATCATTATACTTTTTTAAATCTGAAAACATTCAAAACATGGTATAATGTTCTCGATTAAACTACACTTGATGTTGCATTACTTTAAAAGGCTTTACTAATACAATATACTACCTTTGGTTTGCAATTGAGAGATCATCTCTACAGCTTGTTTCACTGTGATAAGCAAATGAAACATTTTATTGTACTTGGAAATTACTTCATTAGTTAAAATCAAACTAAGAGGAAATTTGACCTAAAAATCAGACAAATATAAATATTTTGTTTATCGCCGAAAAACATTTTTTTTCAAAATCTTGTTTTCTTAACAGAATTATCCTTGTACATTAGCATTGATTAATTCTGATTATACTATACTCTAAAATTAATGGTGTTAGTAGAGACAGTACCAAAAATGAAAACTATGTTTTGGATGAACGAACAAGTCACAAAATAAATATCAAGTTTTTTAGTTATACATGTAATATATTTTATTAAATAAAATAGTTTTTCTAATAGTCATCCAAGTTTTAAACTAAAAATTATTATTTTCTGACCTTTGAACCATACACTGTGTTTTAGCAAAAACCTCCAACTTGAAAACATCAAAATATTTTTTAAAAAAACCCAAACCCCTTAAAAATTAACAGTTTTAGCATGAAACATGCTTTAGTCTTGGCATGAATTTGTTACACTATATAATTTATATAGTTTAATTAATTATTAAATTGAATAATCGGCATAATTTGACAATTTTAAGAAAAACACGTAGCTGTTAACAGCCATACAATTTTGAAAAATCCATACAAAATATTTTGGTTTAAAGCCCTGTTTTTTTTTAGGTAAAATTGAGAACAATGTTTTCTTACATACATAGTTTTAACAAACAAAAATATCCATACTATGTTAATTCAATAAAAGTAGATACTAGCAGTTTGTCAATTAAAAAAAGTAATTTAAATTATTATCTTAAATTATAAATATTAAATATTTTGTATGCTGTATTTTAGGCTTTTAGCTCGTTTGTAATAATAAATAATGTAAGTTTTATTATGCTTACATCGTATGTAATATTAATTCGCTCTAATTCGTCTGCAAAATTATCGTTGAATATGAAATCATCTCCACACAAACTATGCTTGCCAGTTTTGTAGTTTAATGACAAATTGCATGAATGATCACTTGTAGACAACACTGAACTATGATCATCACTGATAAGTGAATAGAAACAATTATTTAAAAACGAATTACGTTCAATCTGTAAACATAAATAAGTCAGTGGTGTAGTCATAAAAGGGGGAGTAGGGTTCACACAGTGTTACTCTACACCTACGCCATTGATAATACCTTATATTCCGTTTCTCTATCAATAGTGACAGTTTTTGTCATATCTTCTAGGAAAATTATATTATATAAAGTCTTCAAATGATGAACACATTTATTATCTTTGAGTATAATATCTCTGACTTTCATTCCGATGTTATCCAACACTTTTTGAACGACTAACACAAAAATGTCTACTATTTCATAACTCAACAATGAAGTCAAATTAAATGTGAAATTAGCAAAAAATCTAAATTTTAAAAAGAATTTATATATTGACACAAAATTGTTCGAGTTAATATATAATTAATAAATAATTACTTATAATTAACACAAGATGTAGCTAGCATAGGTATACGATTCCAGATAGATGGGTTGTAAGAATCAAATGGTATTATGTAATCATCCCAATCGTTTAATATTGTTCTTAATTCCAACAAGAAGTTATGAAATAATTCTCCTAAAATTATGAATAAAAATATAGTATTATTTACATATACAATTATAATAATAATATAACATAAAAGTCAATAACAAACCACGAGGGACATCGCCTAAGGTCTTGTCGTCATTACTTATTTCTGAAGCTACAAAAACTTTCCAATCACTTTTGCTTAACAAATACATTAAATTTTCTATAATTGGCGGTAATTGCAAGCCACAGTTTTCAAGATACCCAATAATATCTTTGAAGTATAAATTGAACTCTGTACAACTGTCGCCTTCATATTTTAATATGACAAATTCGTTATGCTCGTCGACCAGCTGTCCAGCGTGAATCCATAATTCTGTCATATGTATATAAGGTTCAAAAGTATACACGAACAAAGTCATTGAAATTAATTTTTCATAATCCAGAAGAGCCTTTTGAACAGACCAAAACAACACAGATATCAATCTGAAAATTATTTAGTCATTTTTTTATCAGGTTATAAAAAAATGTAATATAAAAAAGTATACCTAATACAAGTCATCCAACTGTCTAATTTTTCCCAATTTGAAATGAACGCTTTTGTATGTATGGAATGAACAAATGAAATCACTTGTAAATGCTTTTGCATATCTTCTTCAAAAGACATTATTGTTCTGTTTGGGTAGCCTAAACATATATTGATTGATAAAAATTTCATTTTATTTGCTTTATGGGTAAATTAAAACTAAAATTTTATGTGTATGAGAATTTTAAAGTTATATATTTAAGTTAAATATTTTGCATATTTTAAGTTAATATGAAATAAAATTAATTCTCTTTCAAAAAAATAAAGTGTTTATCATGTCGAAATTAAAAAAATGAAAATGTATTTATCTAAAAGCATACATAAATTCTTTATCTGGTTTTCAATTAATTGCATCGTATTGATAATTGGTTCCAGAATTTTTTCAAGTCCTTTAGCATAAGCCCTTAATGTATATGGTATCTTAACAACACACTTCATATGATGAGTAAACTGCAGAAGGTCGCTGAATTTATTTATAAAAGGCGAAATAGCTGTTGTCCAACTATTAAAAATTTCCTGGAATAATAAAGGAGCAATTAAAACTTTTTTATATACACTGCACATTTCTAGTCTGTCATAATATAAAGGAAAAATTTTAGTCTTGAAAAACTTGGATTTATCTGTTGAAAATTTTGACTAATTTAGCTGTGATTTACCGATGAACTGCAGTAACGCTAACTAAAAAGATGCAGTGAAACGAGGCTGTGGTAGAAATTTGGTTTTAATTACAATTTTTCAATCTATTTATTTAATACTATTGTAGTTAACACAATTTTTGACTTAACTTATAAAACTTACTGGTGACACAGATGGTAAAATGGTTATATATCCGAACAACCTATTTTGATCTTCTAAACTGTGCTGAAAAATATTGGATGGGACTAAATGATGTTTTAAGCATTCAAGTATTACTTTTTTGTCATCTATAACTTTAAAAGATGTACTATTGGAATATCTAAAAAAAAAAGACAGCATTTTTTATTGTCATTCTAAGAAAATATTTGGAAATCTGCACCTTTTTAAAGCAAAATGAGGTGCATCTTTGCCACCTTTGACTATTACATCGGAATCATAATACCACCATGAATTTGATTTAATTGTCTTTAATACTTTTAGAGCCTTATTTTCGTTCAAATATAGTAGTTTTAAATATTGTCTTCTGTTGTCTTCAAATCCTTTGGTTTTAGTAACAGTTTCATCCTTTGTACAGGTTGTCCAGGATGATGCTAAACTTAATGATTTATAGTCACATTCATCTTCATAATCGGTATCGTCATTGTTAGATGATTCTGCATATTGCTGCTATAAAAAGTATAATTTTCAATCACCAAGGAACAATTATAGTTATAATATATAAGTTAAAATATGTTAACTCACATCTCTGCGACCGATATCAAGTAATTCTTTTACAAGATTAGCTTTCCACGTTTCACCTAATACTGCTGTTTCGCCTTCGAGTTGAATTCGAACACTGTCTAAGTTGGTATTTCGCAATGCATTTCTGAATCCACAAGGGTTTCTAGCCATTTCAATTATCATATTGATTATGGCCCATTTTACCGCAGAAGAGGAATGCTAGACAAATTTTAAAAATTTAACTTAATTCATTTAATTGAGAATAGCGTTTTAAAATTATACTTTTAATCGATTATTGATATCAGAGTTATTAATAAACCAGTACACTCGCATTTCAAATTCTTTTGCTTCTAACGGAAACCCATGAGCAATATATTTTTCCAAAATTCCTTCTACGAGTTCTTCAACAGCTCGTTTTTTTGGATATTCGTAAGAGTTATCTTGTAAAGTGTTTATTATCTGAACATATTTTAAGTACACTTCACTAAACTCCTAAAAGTTAAAACAATTAAACTCCTTTTATTATTTAAATTAAATTGCATCGTTTACAAATCGTTTAACTTTTTATTATAAAGAAAACTAAACGTTCTCTTGTAACAAGGGGAGTCCAAGTCTATTTAGATGTACAAAAAATTTACCTCTATTCCAGTTGTCATCGTAATAAGTTCTAATATATTGGCCAGTGACTTAGAAGACAAACTTATTAACGACATTTTAGTATCCATTTGACTTGTTTTTATATTGTTCATTCGAAAACAAACTATCGCATTATTAATAAATACAATTTATCTGACAAGTGCAATATCCAAAATTAATTTTCATTGTTTAAAAAACAATTTATTAAAATTGTCTGTAAAACAAAAGTATAAAACTTTATAGTGTATATTAACGTAGGTACATTTGGACAACTAATAATAAACTATACTTCGTACTATAAACTGCTAATTAAGAAATAAGTACTCCTACAAATTACAATTGATATTTAATAACAAAATTATACTAGAAACATTTTTCATTTTGGCGGTTGAATGATAACTGCTATTTAAAACCACAGATTATATTCGTTTATTTATTTTGCAGGTTTGTTATCAAACATGTGACTGTTGTGATAAGCCGTATACGTTTCATAGACCGGGTTGCTACTTGCTAGTTGCTACCACTTTTCCCAAATTGCATAACTTACGTAAGGTCAATGATAATAAGAGTTATGACTTATGAATATCAGACAATTGTGTGTTATAATATTATGTTAGGAATTAGGATCATGGTTGAAATACAGGCTAATGCACATATTCTTGAGTTGTTATCTTCAGAAGCAAAACGGCAGCGTAACGGGATATCAATTTTACTATATACTTTATTAAATACATATGTATTTAATCTATGACTTAACTATTACTCTATTTTACCCTGTCCTTACTCCTTATCAACGACTTCACTAAATACAGTTACTAAATACTGATATTCAATTCGTGAAGAAAACTATAACAGTAAAAAAATGTACCAACTAGTAACTACCAAATAACAAGAGGGTCTTACATTTTTCTAATAAAAAATTAAACCATTATGAGATTTAGTTTCTTAAGCCGCTGTGCATTTTATATGGAAGAAAACCAGCAACCATATTTGGACCTCAAAGAATATAATTTAGTCTAGGCCGGTTTCACAACAGACTGGCTAGATGTGCGGTGCGCAATGAAGAAAATCATTTAATAAAAGTTTGAACGCATAAGAAGAAAGTAACGCTTAGACATACTGAATACATCATTTTATTTTTATATATTATTATCACTGAAGTACTCATGTTCTGTGTCAATCATTGTATACAATTTAAAAGCTCAAATTTGAAGGTCAACTCAATGACAACCATTAATATGTTTTGTTAGTTAAAACTTTTTAGGTAATTCATATTAAACATAACATATATTATATATCATATAATATATGGCTCTAAAAAAAAAAAAAAAAAAATGTTTTTGGTGTATTGTAGAAATCATTACAATTTTAGCCTTCTAGGAAAACTGATTAAAAAACTGCATATGTGTATAAGTATTTTATAAGTACAAGTGTCAGCTTTAAGAATCTTTTTATAAATTAAAAAAATATGTGTAGAAATGATGAAGATTTTTTATAAGAAAACAATTATTTTTACGGGTTAATTCCATGGGAAAAACATGGCTCTATAGACTATAGAAACCACTTCATCGCCTTAGGGGTTGCAAAAATATATTTATATAATACGAATATATGTATGCTTAAGTATGTATACTTATAAAATGTTTGTAGGGGTCCAACCTTATTGAAATGAATTTATTTGGGAATGATGGATTAAAAAAAGTTGCGCTCCACTTGCCTAGAAGACTGAAATTTTAAACATTTCTTCTTTTCAATACATAAAAACATTTCAAGGGATAGCAAAAAAAATAATATATATATATATTACTATAAATATACTTTATAATATTATATATATATATAAACTATGGCTTACTAATGTAGAAATTAAAATACAAGTTTTTTTTTTACTTTAGATGTAATTGTCACATTTAAAAAGAAAATGCATATTAACTTACATACTGATCCCTCAATTAAAATTAAAAAATGTAATATAGTACAGTCGGTCAAAACATTTTTTTCAATACTTTGAAAATCTCAATTTCAAATAATTTAAGGTAGGATTTTATAGTTTGGATTGTATTTTGTAACTTTTCTGTAAATAAAAAAGGATTCATAGTATTCATAAATCCTTGAAAATGCTTTTTATTTTCCACCTATTTATGTAAACTGACAAATAATTGTATTTAAAAAATCTACTAATTAAGAACTATAGACTTTATTAAAACAATCCATCGTGGACGCCAATGCATACGGCTCGCATAGACTAAACAAAAATATACAAGTAACAATTATGCTTTATCGGAGTTTTTTAATTCTTCCATTTTGTTCACAACATTTCTCTCCATTTCTGCTTCAAAACGCCATCTCAAATATGAAGCCTATTATAAATTAGTTTAATATTAATATAAATTAATATATACGAGGTGATTAATTGTATATATGAATTTAAAAATATAATAATACAGCTTTTTTATACCTTAGTCCGATCCCAAAGAGCTTGAAATGAGTCTAACGCAGGCCTAACGTCTAGTGCTGCTACTTGGTGTTTGGTTTCTGTTTTATTAATGCTATAGTAATCAATAACATAACGGACGTCTTTTCCACAACGATCGACAACCCAATCGTGTCTGTCAAAAGGCATCTCATAGCCCATCCAATTCCGTATTCTAGCTCTTGGTGAGTAATCTTTAGCTTTTCCGCCAAAGCTTTTGAGTTTCGGGGACATACACTCGTTTGCATGCCACGCTTCCCATTTAAGTACTTCTTGCCAAGCTAATTCATTATTAACATTATGTATTTTTATTATAACTTCCATATCTTTTGGTGACAGATTATCATCCTTCCAGCGCCAACCTTTGCGTAACATTGCATTCCAAAACATCTAAATATTGGAAAACAAAATAACTTGTTACAGCAAAACACATTTGAATGCTTTTGTCTAGACAATTATTATAAAATTATAAAAACTCACTTGGGCTGATGGATAAACCCAAAAGTCGCCATCGGCTTTAGGTATAGTAGAAACTTCTCTCTCAGTTGGTAGAGTAAACGGTTGATCGGGTGCTGGTTGTTGATTAGGTGGAGGCATCTATATTAAATCAACATAAAGAGTAGTTTAAATAAAATGTTTTATCATACTGTACACCATGTTAAATATTCAGAAATTGTTACTGAAATAGTTAGGGTTAAGTTTTAACCCAGTAAACAATGTTGCAGATTCTTTAAAGCCACACATTTTTGAGAGCATGGCTTGGAAATATTTTGATTTAAATTTACATTCCGATTGCACCCTTTTTTTTTTTGAGATTTCTTTCCTTCTAATTAAAAAGCTTTAACGCCCATTTAAAAACTGAAATTTAACTCCTCTAGACTCTTTTTCAAAAGTTAGGTACTTACACTATGGAAATTATTAATGCACAAGTATGCGAATCGGTCGCAGTGCCCTGTGACACCATTCACATCAGTACAGCAACAACTTTTCAAGGCGTTTTTCTAATTTTTTTTTTTTTGTAAATGATCATACATCTAATTTCAGAAATAATTAATACACGGTTTACTTAAAAGATTAATATTATTATTATTGTAAGCACTAAGAAAACATGTGGTGCCACATGTTTGACTGTCCCGAGCACAGCATATTAGCACAACAAAAATTCATTAAGTTCAAGTACCTAAAATTTTTTATGTAAAAGAGTTCGCGAGTTTCAGACTTTAGATTTGTTTTTCGTGAAATTATTTAGAAAAATTACCATGTTTAGTGGATTGATGTCGTCAAGACCACCAGCTACTGCACAGCCAGATTTTTTAGGTTCTTCTATTTTATCCATTTTATTGTGCATTGGACATTCAGGTGGAGGATTTTGTCCGGTGTTTGTTGCAAAATTATGTGGATTGTTTTGCACATTATTATTACTGTTCGATTTGTCCTGACTTACGAAGGACTGAGCTGCATCCGTTTGAGCGTTAGAAACTGTATTACCCATTATAAACTATGTATTTTTTTCTCAGATATTTCTAAATAGTTAATACATTACATAATTATATACAATTGGGACTTGCGTACAAACTACAAGAAGAATAAAGAATTGTTAACAGACTAAATTCCAATTTTTCTCGATTCAGATTATTATTGATAACTCTATAGATCACGGTTACATACCTATTACCTAGATGAATTTTAAGGTTTTCTGGTTTAAGGTATTAATCTACAACCATGGTCGAAAGTTTTGGGCAAGCGCGGATTTTACCTCCACCACTCATGGAAAAATAATGGATATTTTGATATGTTATCACAATAATTGCTACTGTTTTGTTTGTGAATTGTCGTACTTGGCTAGGCTCGGTACTTCAGAGTTTAGCTATGTTACAGAGTTATTGTGTCTTGTCTTGTGTAATTACTGTCTTTTTTTCTCTAGTTTTAGATACTAAATTTTGTATTTTCAACGATTATTGTAAAAATGTATAAAATTCTTTATTCTTCATAATATGTCTTTCATAATTCAATAATGAAGTGTGGACGTGTCTACCAATACTTACATTCAATTTGACTATGAAGTTAATCGAATGAATCTATATAATATTACCGTGTCTGCCTCCTGGTCATAACAGGCAGATCTAAAAAAAAAACTCTAATAGTATTTACCTACATCTTCGTAAAGAGCAAACCATAATATCAAAATGTCCTCTTCGTCAGAAAATTTACTTAACAAGCTTTACAATCGTCAGGTAAAAATCATTTATTCATTAATTATGGTGAAGATAAACTATTTTTACTTATTGTATAATTTGATTTTTATTATTAATTTAATTATAATTAAGATATATATTTGTTATCAACATACACTAATAGTATTTCAAAGTTTATTTGATAACTCTTAATTGATTAAATGTGTGTAATTAAATTGTATCCATAAATTAGTCGTAAGTGAATTATAAGATAAAATTATTGTTAACATGTTTAACAATGTCCATTTTATATTAGCTCAGTTGGAATTTTTTATTTGGTATGTTGACTTTACAGCTTGTTGACAACTTTGCACTCAAATAAGTTTAAAGGCACCTATACACCTGCCGAACACAGGGAGCCGAACCGTTCGCGAGAATCCATCTATCAACGGGTTTTTTGACACGAACCTAACGCGAACCAAGCCGAATTAGGATAGGCTCGCGATAGGTTTGGCTTGCTAGTGTATACGCGGCTTAAAGTATCAAGTGAGATTAGGGCGATGAATACTTTTTTTAAGCATTAGATATCTTTTCCCAAGACAAAATCTGTCAATACTTAACAATATAACAGGCTACCGATAATGTTGATTTACCTTTTTAACTACATATATCCTCATGCTGAATTATTATTATTAACAGGGATTGAAAACGTTGCCAAGCCAAAATATATACTATTTGTTATATCCATTACAAAAGTAGATTAAAAGATTAGTAGTAGCAGTGGCAAACTAGAGACTAAAGTGCCCAGGGCAAGACATTTTTTTTTACACCTTATATTACATATTAACGTGAATAGTAAACCGTACAAAAACACCTTACATTAAAAAGTCCCCGGAGGCAGCTGCCCCCTTCACCTACGGTACCTAGGTACCTATACTACTGGGTCTACTGGGTCAGATAGCTTACCTGATTTTGAACTTGTCTATAAAAAGTTTTTAAAGTTAAGTTATACCTTTTGGAACAATATAAACGTTTTGCTTCAGGAACAATATTTTATATTGTTCCAAAAGACATAACTTAACTTTAAAATATTTTTATTGACTTTTTTTTAAAAGTTCAAAATCAGTTAAGCTATCAGGCTATCATACTACCAATCATTTTAATCTATGTTTGTGGTAGTTATATTAAATAGTGTAAATTTTGGCTTGGTAATGTTTTCAATACCTGATAATCTCTCTTAAGTTTAACGTCCGTTATTCCTGCCAATCGGGGCTTAGACGGTTTAGATTTGGCATTTTTGGGCTTAGAGCTGGCAGCCGACCTAACGCTACCAAACAAGTTGGCCCCAGAGAGAGGTGCATGTGGCCGTGTTTTCCTCGAGACAGTTGCCCGCTTGGAGGAACAAACCGCCAGTGGCCGATATTCGAAACGGCAATCGTGCGTTGATACACTGACACCTTATCTCACTCCGCCACGCACCTGCACCGCCTTTCAATACCTGATAATAAATATTAAATATAAATGTAGATTAAGTTTTATTTTAAAATAAAAAATTATAACTATATAGATTAAAGTGTAAGCGTATAAGTGAATTTAGATTGAACGTTGCACTATTTTCATCCTTAAAATTTTGGTTTTTACATTTATACACAATTACTAAAAGTATAAAATTAAAATACAATATCCTTTGATATTTCTTGCATGAGCGAGTTAAATAGTAACACAGAAAGTTGTCTTGAATAATTTAAAAAATTATAAATAATTAAGCTGGCTCTTCACGTGTCATTTATCTAATTTGTCATATGACCAACATTTGATATTTGGCGAGTATTAAATTGTGTGTAAAGAACATTTAGCTATTCGGATAGCTGTTCGGTATGTACCAAATATTTTCCATTTCATGTTTGTAAAATACACTAAATTAAAGGGACAAGTATTAGTTGTATGTTTACTGTAGCCAAACTGTCGTGTATGTTATTTAAGTATTTTTGTTATGACGAATATTCAGTACACAGCCAATAACGCGTGTGTAGAGCCTACTTTATATAAGTTTTAGAAAATTTTTTAAATTTTTAAATTGTCTTAATTAGTACACTTCTGGGTGCTTCAATGAATATGTTATGTTTTATATTTGCAGGTTTATGGGTCTCTTAAGTATAAATACAATCCTCAGAATAAAACCAAATATTTATTCAAAGACACTCCAGACTACTGCAAATTTTTCTTGCCTGATATTATCGAAGATATATCTGAGTAATTATAGATAATGGTGTTAATAGTAACCATTTTTCATTATTACCATATTATTATGTTTTGTTTTCTAGCCATGTTTTTATGGGCTTAACACGCTGTGGTCAATTTTTATTGACTTATACAATAGCGGATACAGAAAACTTGGTGATCGTTGATGGACCTATTATGTCTTCATTGAGTATGAAGTATAAATTACATTTTTGGGCATTTAGACCTGGTCAATCAGCATATAGGGTTTCAGAAATAGTACTGTTTGAAAATGCTGAATTCAGCGATTTTTTAAATTTTTACATTGTACAATGGCCCAATCGATCCGACAAAGTTGTGATATTTGGTGAAAAGTAATTGTTTTTAATAAGTTTTTTTTACACTATATTAATTTTAATTATCAACATTACTTTTAGCGTTACTTCTGATGACGATGAAAGTGATACACATAAAATTTATATAACTGTTGCAACATTGCCGTCTTTAAATAACTGTAAGGAGTGTCGAGAAGTAGCACACGCACATAGACATGAAGGTAATATAAATATTTGTTCAAAATGCTTAGTAGACCATCCATTTATGGACCTTCATGATGTACATAAATTGAAACCTTTTCTTTCAGATTTCTCCAAGTATTACATAGGAAACACATGCCTTGTACACGGTCTTACAGTCCATACGTCATTTACAGTGTCACATCCTTATCCCCTATTGGAACCATCTATATCATTAAAATACGATAACCATATTATACTCAATACATGCAGTTTTATTCATGTATTAAACATTGATTTAGTTCAAGATCAAAACTTCGAATCAGATCAATCAGAAAATATTAACGCTCCGTTATCCCACAAGTACTTGAAAGTTTAATTATTAAATTGCTTTTTTCTTTTTAACTGCAATGTGTAATTTTTATACCAGGCTTAATGAAAATCTGTCCGAATTTGGCTATAAAATGGCGAATAAAATTGATTCTCAAGAAAGAGGTGTTAAAAGAAGGCATTTCGATACAAGATGTTTTGTATGTATAAATTTGAATTATTTTATATATTAGATTTTGTACTAACAGCAAGTTTTATATTTGTATAATTCTAGTTTGATAAAGAGCAAGATATGACTATGGCTGCTCTTAGCCCCAAAACCAGTTATAACAACCATTATCTTTTAAGAATGAAAGATGCTGAAAAGGTAAATCTAAGTTAAAAAGCCTGGACCTGGCAAAATTTTAACAAAAAAAAAACTTAAATAGAAATATGTGGACAATAATTTTACAAATTGAAAAAAGCACAGTTATAAGATTTTTAACATTTTTTGATTTATTTATTTATTTTTTATATATAGATTTATGATTTTGATGAAAATGACGACAATTGTATGCTTAAGTTTAAATGGTTCAGGAGAAGACGAAAAGCTGACAAAATGTATGAATTTTGTTCCGAAGAAGAAGACATGGAAAATGTGCATCCTTCAACAAAAAAAAGTTCATGTCATTTTCGGGAATCCCCTGGACCGTCAGCCGTTGACCAAACGCCATTATACATTCAAACTGATTATGAAGACGATAGACTTAATGACTGTGATAGAAAAATGTTCTTTGCTCAAGAATTGAATGCAATAATTGCTGACTGGGACTGTTTATCGTCACCTCGATCAGTTACCTCTGAAGACAGAGATCTCAAAAGTCCTGAATGCACCAACAGAAAAATTACCAATGTGCTCAAACCTAGAAATAAAACTCCTTTAGCTAAAAATTCCAAGAGTCCATGTGATAAAAAAATTAGTCTCATGCTGGTTACCGATAACATTCAAGGTATGAAATATGTGTTCAAATTTAGCTATAAATAATTGCACTTACATATTAAAAAAATTATATTATTGTTAAAATTACAAATAAATAAATTTCTATGATTTAGGCAATCAACCAAGCAATACTCTCCGATCTGTGCCGTTGCAAGGATGCTCTGCAAAATTAGAAAGACAGTATATTGAAGTTGATGAAGAAGTAATTTCTGTCAACACAGATATGGATGGTATGTTTAATTTTTTTTTTTCATGCAAAAACCCGTTTTAAAGATATAACTCCTCGTGTAGGCTACATAACATTTACACAATGTTACAATAAATATGTATATAATTGTTTTGATAAAATATGTAAAATTATTGGAAGCGTTGTGGGTGCCCTGTACCATTGGCTAGCTTAACCTAAACGAATAATATGCAGTTTTCAAAAAAAACATTTATGTTATATTTATGTAATAAGAAATTTTTTCTACATTGCAGAAGAAGACGGCTTAACAGGGTCATTATGTGCTTTACCATTATCTGTTCACGGGTCTGGGTCTGCTCAAATGCAAATAGTTAACACTATTAAAATTAATAAACAGGTATTGTATTTGATACTAATTATTCAACTTTGTAGCGCTAAAAAATCATTTTAAAAATTAATTTGTTGTGACGTTTTAAAACATGAACACATTTTTTAACTTTAATAATTTTAATTAAAATATTGTTTTCTTTTAAATATTCAGTTATTTATATTTAGTTTAGTTATATTCAGTTTTATTTATATTGTATGTGACATACTGTATGTCATTTAAGGTACTTTTAAGACTAAAAATAAGGTTGTATATTAATTTTAATACTAATGAGTAAGCGCATACTTATTTTGTAATAATTTTCTGACTAATACTGACGGTCTACCAAGCAAATTTGTATTCAGAACTATTACACAAAACGTTTAACAGAATAAAAATTAAAAATTAAAGTACTATCTAAAACTCAATTATTATATATAAAAAAAATATATTTTAAACATTTTATCTCAATGTACTTAAATGTAAAGTTAAATATAAACTATAAATACATATATTTTTAATTATTACATTATTTGTATTTTTAGGAGAAAAATGTTTGTGTTGTTAAACAAGCAAGTTTAGATTTTGAACACGTCAGCTACAAAGTAGCAGAAATTATTTGTAATCTGGAAGGTCACAAGTTTTGGTGCTACAATGATTACGATTCTGCTATAGTCGATGTATGTAATTATAGTTTAAGGTGTATTGCAATAATTTTTTTACTACACATGATCTGCTTTCTTTTTAAAATTGAAATAGGTCTGTCCTTTAAATGGTGACATATTAATCTCACTTTGTATAAGACTGAACACAGAAGAAGACAAAAAACTAATTCCTCTATGCCAACCAGAATCCAGCAGGTATTTATAAAAATATAAACTAATTTTTACTCAATTAAGTAGTCGTAAAAGTGTACTCATCTTCCTTCTTTCAATGTAAAAGTGCACTCATAAATCATAATGAATATAGTGTACTTTACAATACTCACAATACTCAATTTTAAACTGGGAGACCCGTACATATAGTATACGTTACGACTTCAACACTCATATTATTATAAGTTAGTTTAACTTAACTGTATCTCATTGCACAGGGGTAGGGGTTTCGAGACAAAGTGTATAATTTTGTGGAATCCTCAAGCCGACACTTGTTTCCTAGAAGCGTATTGGCAATTAGAAATGACTGCGGATGTGCCAAACTGTCCCAATTGGAATCCGGCACGCGACGAAGCCAATATACTAAGGCAGTCGCCCTTAGGATTTTTCAACATTCCTATGGCTCGACAAGTTAGGTGTTTATCTCATGAAGTGTGGTCTTGTCAAGTTGGAAACACAAGTAAGTTTAGTGGGTTATACCCTAAATTGTTATATTATCGACTCTTATCACTTATTAATTGTTATAATTACAGATCCGTCTTTGCTAGAAATCAGAGATGACGATAATTTAATCACTATTTTAAGAAACCGGAGAGCTGTCGTAGTCGAAGACAACAATGTAATGGTATTGCTTCGTCACAGACTGCCTGTATAGTCATTTTACTTAACAGTAAATTTAAATTAATTTAAAAACGTGTGATAAGTTTTTTTAATAATAAACAAAAGTAGTTTTTTTTTTTTTCAATTCGACTGTTCTATACTTTTGTATGGAGCTTAAGTTATTATTTCTTACATTTTTTTCTCTTTTTAACTATTATTTTTTTACTTAAGTAGTTCTCTGATTAAATGTATTTTAGAATACAAAATATTAATTCTTAAATAAATATTTAATTTAAAACATTATATTATTTATTATTGTTTTAAAACAAAAAAATTATATTACATTACTTTTCGAGTTATTAAGCCGTGCATTTAAATTTCATGAAAATCATTTTTACTTTTAAATAATAACTTGTAAATTGTTAGCGCGTAAAAGATTTATAAGGTAATTAGTACTACATTTACATGTTTTGAAATTTACTTATTTATTGTGTTTTAAAACCTGAATGTTATTTTTTATGCCTAATAATTCGTAAAATATGAAATAAGATAAATATTATTAATATTATTGTTGTTGTGTATCAGATTTTAGTTATTGAAAAAAGTTTAAAATAGAGTTTTAAATGTAACCAGATTTGAAAAATGTATAATATACCGTTTAACTCGTTTTTGTACACTTTATACTCCGGTCACTTAAGATGATACCTCGTCGTGTCGGCAAGAACTAATTTCTACCTAGCAACATCGTCTTAGTTCGGCACCACCTACCGTGCATACAGATACGATGTGCGCGGCGGCGGACCATAACTCGTCCTTCGCCCTGGGGTTATCTTCTTAAAGTGACCAGAGTATAGAGCATGTAAAAAATTATACATAAGTAACTTAATAACTGCTGTGTATATTATTATGATTTTACCAATGTAAAAAACTGACTAATAAGCTGCTTGAAATGTATTACTCTGTATTATTCTAAATATTGCTGTTTTGCGTACAACTCAAACAAAGCCAAGGCTTGGTGTCGAACATTTATTTTTTATTGATTGTGACGACTTTTAAGATTATTAACTATTTAACATCTCAAGCAGCTACTAGTTTCTATACAATGTGCAGATTCGAATTTAAATTTGGCCATTGTTGATACGTAAAAAAAAATATATATATTTTTAGTGTGCATTTCAGAACAATTTTAAAATGTTTAAATTTAGATTAATTATTTCCCTTTTATTCTTAAGATAATTATAAAAAAATCAATATGTATAATCCTACGGCTGTAAAGTAAAATATATAAATATTATTTATAAATGAAACATCACATTGTCGTGTAACTGTAACACGTATTTTAGACTGTCTTTTTAAAATATAATATTTCAAAAGCGATTACTTTACTTTGCTTTTGTGAACAAACCACTTAACAATTAATGGCAAAGTAACTTGTCTATAATATTTGATTTATAAAATTTAAGGAATAAGCGCTTATAAACGTTTATGTTCGTAAGTCAACTTTGAAGTTAGTGGTGCTGAAAATTAATTTTTTTTTTTACGATTATAGTTATCCTTATATTTTTCCCATTGTAACGTTTGCTTTTTATCTGACGAATGTTCAATTATTGTTAGTTCCTTTTTATGGATTGTTTATTTATTATAATGTCCACAAATATTTATCTTTATTATTATTTTAATAACTTACAGAGTGTTACTATTATATCAGAAATAAATTAAATAATCCACAAATGTATATTTTGTATTCTCATTTATTTAATGGTAAAAAAAAACGTATAATGAAAAAAAAAATACTTAACAAATAAATTAATATTGTCTTATGAGCTATGATATAAATGTTCGATAAATGACACACTTAAAAAAAATAATGTAAATAATTAACGTGTCTAAACTGTACAAAATTTGGTTTACGAGCCAATAGTCTCTTGAATAATACGTATATGCACTAATATTGGATATACAACATTAGGTTTTTGTTAAAATTAATAACAGTTATATTTATAATATCTATTTACATGTTACATACAAAATATTATCGCGTACTTTATGACACTAAAATTTTCATAAAATAATATAATTTATAATTAGGTTTTTTATTTTGAGGAAAGTCCGATGTCGAGCAAAAGTAGGTAGTTGCCGACGGTTCACCGATCCGTGTAAAACTTGTTTTTACTTGTTTCACACGCCGTATTGGCTCTGATTTCTGACCGAGAATCTTCACCTGACTATTACTGTATTTATATATATATATATTTTTTTTTTTTGAGCAACTAATTATTTTCATCGTAGTCTATTCACTGGCATTCGCTTTCAGTATCGCTTTTATCTGTAAATCAACATATTTGGTTATGTTAAACAAAGTGAAATTAATATCATGGCCAAACGTGACAAAAAGTCAATTTGTATAAGAAAGAAATCATATTTTTCTTTGATGCTTCTCACCTTTCTTGCCGTTATAAGCATGTCTCTTGAGTCTGTCGTACAAGTCTTCTTTGTTACCATAAATGCTGGCGTTGGACCTGGCCAAGCTGTTCATTTTTCCATTGTGCAAACTCTCTGTGAACAGAAAACGAGTAAAATTACTAATGTTTACAATTTTAGGATTTTTAAAAACACATTTAGCTTTCAGTTTGTATCGATACGATGATTTATCATAAGCGGCAGTAATAGTTATAGTAAGATATTTGTCGATAGAGTATCCCTAACAGCACCGGCAGTCCATGGATCAATTCTGCTTTAATCCAAACAGGACTCTTGGCTTGGAAACCGCTGGACACGTTCATCATTTATTTTTATAGAGTAGTGCTTAAATAGGCAAGAACAGCAATAGTATTCCCACTAGATAGACCTCCGTCCTTACCTGAATGTAAGGATGGATTATCGTCATAGGTTCAACACCCACCAAGACTCGATTTTTTTAGCTTTTGACTCCTTGTGATGGTTTAACAAGAATTCTTAATTCTACATTAGACTCCCGCGTATAATTCCTACGGAGGGTCATTCGACTACAACGGGGTACAAATAGGACACCATGCCCGGACACTACAGTGGCTCTACAGTCCGGCAAAGTATACTCTAAACGGTGGAAAGGACTTTCCGGTGTTGTTAGGGTTATCGACTCCTCATTGTCCTAAATCTACTTCTACTCTAGTGAATAGTGCGAAACTATGGTAGATGGGCTCGTACCTTTCATGTAAGTCTCGTTGTAAAAGTTGGGCATCTCCCAGCCGTCTTCTTCGTCGTCGTAGTAATGGGCATAGGTCGAGTGATGCGACGGTGCTATGGACTCGGCGTACGGAGCGGCACCGTAGTAGAAGTTAACCTGCGACCCCGTCTGGTCGTTGGTCTGGGCCATCAATTTTTTCGGCTCCTTGACGCGTTCAGACCGGGCGCATATCATCCACACGAACAGCGCGATGACGATCAGGAATATAACGGTGGCGGCGATACCGCCGGCGATGTACGCGAAGTCAGACTTGTCCTCGCAATGAGGACCTATGAACGACCCCACGCACCTGCACGACGGCTGACCCCGTAAGTCCTTCAAGCACGTGCCCTTGTTCTCGCAGTAATTGTCACACACGTCCTTGCACACCTTACCGGTGCCGTTGAACCCTGGTCGGCACTCGCACTTGAAGTCCGACGTTTCGGGTATCAGCAGACAGTCGGCGTTAATGTCGCAGTGCTTGCCCGCAACATTGGCCTCGCACGGGTTCCAACACTCCGACTTGCTGGTCTAAAATCGCATGGGAAGAAAATCGACCGTCGTTATTCGTGGTTCGTAATTTTTACAGGTAATTTACAGGTATATTGTGTACTCACAGCTGCTACAGTCTTTGTACTCATATTGGGTGGACACGGCAAACAACTGGTTTGTTGCGTTGCCGGTTGATAGGTTCCTTTCTTGCATGAAATACAACTGTTTTGCGTGGTATTCAAATAGGAACCTGAAAAACCGAGTACAATAATATCGTTAAGCAAAGTATACTAATAATAGTTTCCATTTTTGCTTTGGTGCAAAGCTGACAACATGATATGTTTTGGTAATATTCTTACCCGGAACGCAGATCGGCAAGGAACACTCTTCGATGCTGGAAGAGCCTGACTGTTTTGTGGTTCTACCGGCCGGACACTGTTGGCAAGCCGGTTCTACTCCTTGCGTCCTATATGTTCCTCTCGGGCACGGTTCGCACTCGCCTTCGATTCCTAAATGCATGCCGTCCGCACATTCGTCTCTGCATTCCTATCAAACCACGAAGAAAAAAAAATATGTCATTTTGTGACACAGGATGCAAACAATAACGAACACAGCAGAAACCCGTTTTACTTCTTGCAAATTTTTACTACCCATACACATACCTCTTGCGACACTGCTTCAGTCGTTCTAGTAGTCTTGCCGAGGCCACACAACAGGCACTTGAAGCTACCCTCCGACGGTTGGTAGAAACCATAACCACAACTTCTGCACAAACCGGCCTCGTCATCGTAGTATTTACCGGCCGGGCATCGTTCCTTACACTGTGAAGCCGATCGGGCTCCAGTAGATACGGTCACACCTTGTCGTCCGGCGATTGCGGGGCAAACCGAACATTGGAGCTGACCCGATTCACTCTGGTACGATCCCACGGCACAAGGCACGCACGTCTTTGTTTCTTTGTCAAAGTAACTTCCAACGGAACACGGCACTGTATCATACGAGTAAACAAAAATTATATTACTTTGCTATCCACCAAGTGCAACTGTTATTAAGGGGTAATCGTAAATGGCCTTACCGCAGTCTGGCGCCATTACGACTTCGCCGACGGGACACGCATAGTCGGATTCCAAATTCAACGAAGCTGGATCCGGCACGGTGTTTGGTAAGATGTCGTGCACGTCAAATTGGTCTTCTTCGAGAATGAGTTTTTCTAATAATCTTTGAATATTAGTTCTCTGGTTGGAATTGCCGTTCACCACGGGATCGCTACAATTTGAACAAACGTTATTGCTTGAGTAAATATAAATAACTTTGTCTTCAAAGTCAACGTTGAAATACATACTTGATGGCCGGGAAGGAAATTGCCACGGAATAAGTATCGCTAGCTTGTCTCTTTTGCCTAAAAGTTAAATATGATTAAAATAATTGCGTATGTACAAACAACTCGTCAGCTTCAATAATTTACCTAATGACTGGAACTGAATCCTCGGTATCAACGTCTCTAGTTGTCCTAGAAGCTTTGTGGTCGCATTTTACGTCGATGTTCAGATCTTTGCATTCGCGTGTTCCCTTGAGAGAATACGAACACAAGTTCCATTCTCTGTTCAACGAGTTAATCGCGTTCCTGACCTTTTGTCTTAGTACTCCTTGTCCAGCTTCGTTACACAACACCGATGTTGGGAATTTCATGTTAACCTTGAACACTCGTTGTGCCGGTTTTGAGGCCGAACACGCGGGGTATACGGTTGGCAATGACGGGTCCTTGGTAGGTCTCCAGAAACCTTCAGCGCCACAAGTATAAAACTTCGGAACGTCTTGAGAGAATCTTAGACCTGGATTACAATTGATTTCACAAACTTTGAACTGTCCACCCGAACCCCAATCTTTGCACGTTTGCTTTCCTCCAATCGGATCTGCTAATACTGGACAGAACTCGGCTATAGAAAAAAAAAATACGAATACAACATTAATTATTTTATACTTAGCTGCGTTTTTATTGGAGCTTAGTGGTTAAAAATAAGTTTTACTTACACAAGACGTATACCCTGAAAGAGCATACAGCGGTATTACCGACTTCGTCGAAAGCTACATAAGCAATGCGATATGTTCCCCATAATAATGTTTGACCGGGTTTGTGGCCGCTTTTTTCTTCAACTCGAACCACACCTACGTTGTCGGTAAATCTAGGTTCATCCCAATTGACAATCGCCGATCCGTTCTTTGCGATCACCCATAAATCTCCTGGACAGTATTCTACATGTGGTGGGATCTTGTCTACCTTGAGTTCCTCGCAATTTGGTCCTGTATATCCAGCTGGACAACTGTGTTGACTACATCTTGACGGAACAATTCTTTCAACGCCTCCCTGAATATCTTCATATCCTGCCCACGTGAGTACCAAACCTTGGTAGAGTACAGGTTCGGTTCTGCAATCACGCACCTGTTTCTGGACTTCATTGGTAACATCAAGAGCGCGTCCCCAGATTTGTACTTTATTCAATTGTCCCTTGAAGCCAGTCTCGGTAAACGTCTTTCTATCAGTTCTCGGCTTGCCCAACACAGCCCAACCACTACAACACATGAGTTACGTATAAACAGTATACCTACATAGCGTTTAAAAAAAACAAATTATTTTTTACTTACAACTCAGGTAACTTTCTTCCAGCTCCGTAGCCTTCCATTTTGCTGGCAATCAAACCTTCAGTGATAAGTGTTAGTGTACCTTGATTCCACACTATAGCTATATGATGCCATTGGCCGTCGTTAATAGTAGTATACTCGTGGAACGACAAGAACACGTCTTGTAACTCTGGGAATATTGATACTTCTACGCCGCTCGAATGAGCTTGGACAAGCATTCTTTGACCTTGTACTACATGCGGTGAACTATAAATATAACAACGAATTTATGAAATAACATAAAAAATTGAATCTAAAAGCTTTTCATTTTACTTACGTTACACTGTATAGCGTAAAGAACACGCCTGGTTCGTCTTTTTGGGCGTACTGCACCCACATAGCGATTGTAAAACTATCCCGACTTCCTGTGAATTGGAATGGAACCGAAAGCGCAGCACTGCTTAATGTCTCTTCCGGGAAACTGAAGTCGTAATCCACTTGGATTGCTAAAATATAAATACAGCATATTTTTAAACGAACTTACTTTAGAAATGCGAATAAAACTCACTCTTTCTACAGTCATCTCCAGTCAGATTAAATGGACATTGACAGTAGAACTTGTTAGTAAGATCGATACACGTAGCAGATGGTGGACAAGAGTTCTCTTTACAATCCACAATATCTTCATCACAGTTTTTACCGGTAAATCCAGGAGGACAAATACATTGGTAGCCAGGTCCGTTATCAATACAGGTTGCTCCATTTTTACAAACGTTAGCTTGACATGCGTCGAACTCGTATTGGCAACCAATTCCGTCATAGTCGCTCGGACATGTGCAATTCAGTCCAGACCCAAAGTCTTGGCATCTACCTCCGTGCATACATGGGTTACCAATACAACGTTCCGGAGCGGTTTCACATTGTTTGCCATCAGTTCCAGATGGACATCTATTCAATTATAAAAATTATTATCATAGTAAGCGTTTTAATTATATATTGACATTAACATTCGACATCATTTTTTTAATTAAAATACTTACACGCAGAAGTAGTCCTGGAACAAGTTTATGCAAGCTGCGTCATTGTGACAAGGTTTGCTCTGGCACGAGCTTATGTCTTGTTCGCATCGTTTACCAGTCCATCCCGGTGGACATTGACAGGAGAACGTGTTGACACCATCGTAGCATTTACCGTTGTTCATACAAGGATTCGAAGCGCAGTCGTCAATATTCTTTTCACACATAGGTCCAGTGTACCCAGGATGGCATACACATTTATAGTTATTGTCCAAATCCAAACATTGGTCTGTTCCTTCGGGATTACAAGGGTCGCTTAAACACTCATCAATGCCAGCTTCACATTGGAGACCCAAGAAACCAGGTCTGCAACGGCACATAAATCCGTCTAGCATGTCCAAACACGATCCTCCGTTTTGGCAAGGTCCGGAAGCACAGTCGTCAATCAGATGCTGACACTTCTTACCGGTGTATCCAACGTCACAAGTACAAGAGTAACCATTAACCAAGTCCGTACAATCTCCGTTATTACCGCAAGGGTTGCTAGCGCATTCATCAATGTTTATTTCACACGCAACACCAGTCCATCCCGGATGACAGACACATTGGTGGCTGAACAATTTATCGACACAGACACCGTTTTGACATGGGTTGGCTGCACATATATCGATTTTCGTTTCACACCGTTTGCCTGTAAAACCAGGCGGGCATGCACACTTGAAATCGTTGACGAGATCGGTACACGCTGCTCCAAGAAGACAAGGCCGTTCCGCGCAATCGTCAATGTTCAAGTCACAGTGTATACCTTCCCAACCGGGCTGACATTCGCATTTGTATCTGCCTTGCTTGAGAGCGGTGCATGTAGCTGCATTCTTACACGGGTTGTTCGGTTCTAAGCACGGATCGATCTAAATAATTACAAAATGTGGTATATTAAAATACAAAGTAAGTGTGAACATAACGGTGGCACTTGTAAATTATACTAACCGTCATATCACAATTCGCGCCTGTGTATCCGCTTCGGCAAAGACAGGTGAAATTGTTAAGACCTGGTTCGTCTTTACACATGGCTCTCTCGGGACAAGTATCATTTCTACAATCAGATTTTTCTTCTTGACAATTTATTCCGCTAAATCCGTTTTTACATTGACAACGGTAGCCTTGAGGAAGATCTATACATGAGCCTCCGTTGAAACAAGGCTGGGACGCACACTCATCGATGTCAACTTCACAACGCTTTCCCGAAAATCCAGCTGGACAGAAGCATTGGACTCCGTGGCCAAGTGGTACACAGAGGCCACCGTGCAAACATGAACTTTCAGTACAAACAAGAGATTGGCATTCATCTCTTCCAGCGGCTCCTACTCCCTTAGTTCTCGTATTTGTTGGACATTCCGTACAAACTGTTTGTCCGCTTAATGATTGATAGAAGTTCATTGGACAAGGTGAACAAGGTGCTAAGCCAGTTTCAGAGTACTGACCAGGAGGGCATTTTGCTGTAATTAAATAGATGATACACATTATTAATGCAACAATACATACAGACAGCGATGTAAAAAAAAATATGCAATTATAACTATGGCTAAATTTTATAATAATAACTGTACCTCTGCAAAAATCTTTATTGGGTGCAGCAGGTTGGTATGTGAACATACTAGCTGGACAAGACTGACATTCTTTAAAACCAGAAGTTGGTGGTTCTGATGTATAACTATTTCTAGGACATTCTAAGCAAGGAACAAGACCTGTGGGGGAATACGTTCCATAGCCACATACCGGGATACAGTCTCTCAAGTCTTTAGAACCCAATTCTTTGGTATAAGTTCCATTGGGGCATTTCATACAGGCGCCCTGTCGATCTCTGTCTTGATAGAAACCACGAGCACACGGCATACAAGTATTTTGTTTTATTCCAGCAAAAGTTCCAGCCGGACAATGCACTAAAATGTGATTATTATTTGTTAGATATATAATTTTTTATTAAAAACATATATTTTATACTTACGACAACGAGGCACTTGGTTTGTATCCATGTTAAGAACTTCGCCGATGTTGCAGGCGAATCCTTTTGATACAGATGATCTAAGGGCTTTCAATGGAGGGCATTGATTGGCGACTGCAGAAATGTTTAACAAAGGTTCAATAGCAGCACTAGCATAAGAAACGCTCAAATCAAACACCAAGTTCAATGTCGATCCACAAAAATCGTATAGCTGAGGTTGGCGTACTTCTGGCACAACTCCCAAAACAAAATCAATCTAAATGAAAATTTTTAATTTTAGCATCAACTGAGTTTATAGTTAAATTGTAACTAAACATATCCATTGCAACAGTGTGTAAATACCTGGACTAAGTTTTCATCTAACAATTGTGGTCTGGTTTCAATGAACGACACGTTCATGTTGACCTTTACAGCTGAACATCTTTCCGTCAATATATCATTTAAAGGCCCGTAATGTTGGCTTAAAATGTCTGCATACTGTCTTAGACACAGTGATGGTACTGCGCCATTTGCGCGATACGTTATCGATGGTACCACGTGGTAGTCAGCCTGGTGCGTATCTTCAGACACACAGTCGGGAACAACCGAAGACGGTAACCACGGACTTCTTTGTTCACAGGTAAACGATTTTTCTGGTAGGCCATCAGTGAATCTATAGCCCGTGTTACAGGTAGCTATGCACTCTAAACCATCATCGTTTGGTAGACAGTTCAATGCACCATTAGAGGGCGGTTTGAGATCCCAATCAACGCATGGAGTTGCTTGCACAGATACCTAATTTATTTACACAACGAAAATATAATTATTGTAACTAATGATTACTAGTGAATATCTAACAAATTTAATGTAACCCAAGAGTGCAACACGTAAACAAATATTAGGTCTTACTTGGAAATAGCACGATGCTTTGTTTCCAAATTTATCTGTTGCTGTAACGGTAACATTTTCAAAATCTCCAATGGCTATAGAAGCACGGTCCGGGCTAAACGCAAGTGTAACTTCTCCAGAAGCGTCGGTCACGTTAATTCTTCTGCGAGTTTCATTAAAGTTTACTAGGTAGCTATCTTGTTGATTCACTAATTCAATAACGTAACTTTGTGGACAGCTCAACTGTGGTGGCGTTTCATCTGATGACATTGTAATAAAAAATATAAAAATAATTTCCCTACTATTATTTTTATAAAAATATTTTACCTGTAACTGTTATGTTAATTTCGCATATGGCCACATTTCCGTCAAAATCAAATGCAACGTATTTCACAGCTGTGTCTTGAAATGTGTAAAATGGTAATTTGAAACTTTGTGGTTTTATTTCAAGTCTAGCAATACTGCCGCTGTTATCTACTGGGACGGGTTCGGTCACATTTACGGGCTCTATTCCGTTGGGTCCTCGGCGTACAAGAATTGGTTGAGTTGGGCAGTTTTGGAATACAGGTGGTTCATTGTCTATGCAATATAATTGTATTAATTAGTTGAGTTGATGGTAAAAACCGAGCTCAGTCTGGTTATGGACGCTACAATACTTACCAACACATGGAGAATGACCATAGTCAAAACCTAATAAAGGTTCTACTTTAGGTTCTTCACAACCCATCAATTCAAATTTCAAGCAAGCATTATCCATGTAGCTTACGATTCCTAGAATGTATCACAGTTTTTTAATAATTTACTTATATTTTCATTAAGATAAATGACTGCCAATGTTAAACAAAATCATACCTAAAATTACAAATCGAGCTTGTACATATTTTGGTAATGTAATCATTGCAAGTTCACCAAAGTTTCCAGGATCTCTCATCGTTAAATTGAAATTCGGGAAGTAAACGACAAAGTTTTCTTTTTCTTCTTGTTTGTAGAAGAAACGAATTTCAGTCGGACGTCCTACAATATCATTTGTAACAACACCTTTCACGAGAATAGCCTATAAAATGTTTTCAATACAAGGTTAATATTAATTAATAATTATTCTTTCCAAATATATAAATCTTCTCACCTTGACTCTATAAATTTGTCCTAAATCTACGCTCACATAGGTGAATGCTTCTTGTTTACCACACCATCCGGTTACGGAATTTAAACGAATATTTCTTGCTTCATAATTTGGTCTATAAACAAAAATAATATTATTTACTACTTTGTAAAAAAAAATTAAGTGGGTGAAGTTAAAAACTAATTATTTTACCTCTCAGATGTGGCGTTGATCGCCGAATCTGGAATTCTACCAGATGTTATGCCCAACGGTTTGATGATTTTACATTCCGGTTCTCGTATACATGAAATCGGACGGGGATTGATCAATATGTAACCTGGCTTATTACAACCAAATTGCACTTCTGATCCCTGTTCATAGCTCGTGGCCAATTGATATCCGTCTGTTGGTCTTCCTGGATCTTGACACACGGGCCCTTCACATCTCAAATCACCGAAATCCCAAACACCGTTAGCTTGGCAACGTACCACGTTATCGTTTTTATCAGTTTGTCCCGCTAATTTGAATGTATCTTGACATCCGAAAAAGAAAGACGATTGATATCTGGTGTCTTTGAAATTACCGTATTCTGCACCGGCAGTAGGCATTGGAACGCCGCAATCCACCCTAGGACATGAAGGAGCCACGCCCGATAACCAATATTCGGGGAAACCCTTAAAAATGTCATAAGAATTATGTAATGCATTACTCGTTTATTATTAAAAAATATACACTCATATAATATTTACCGGCTTTGGATCGTACACACACTGTCTGAAACCTGAAGTGGCGGTGCCTCGTAGAGTCCGGCCTGGATTTTCGCATTTCAACGTGACATTTTCCTTAAAGGGTACAAGAATTGCTTCTTTTTCAAAACGGCTTACTTTTAAGCCTTCGATTTTATCGTCGGGAAGAGATACACACTTAGCAACTAAAAATATAATAATTATAATACGTATTGATAAAACTAGAGGGCGTGAAATAGTTACATTGGCACTGTGGTACTGTCCCATTCCATGCCCCAGCTGATGTACACAAAAGCGACGAAGATCCCGACATCACGTACCCAAATTTACATTGGAAATTGACTAAGTCGCCAAAATGATAAGACTCTTTGGTTGAGAGAATGATACCGTTATCAGGAGCTTGCAAACTAGGGCACATTACAGGAACACAAGTTTTGTTTCTTTGGTACACATCTCCATCTCTCTCTCCACTTTCAAATTCATTAATTGGAAATCCAGCTGTTCCGTTCTTAACATAGAGTTCATAGCCTATGTTACAGGCACAAGCGTAACTTCCTGGACTGTTTATACATTTTTGTTGACAGCCTCCATTATTACTGGCACATTCGTTTATATCAACACAATCCAATCTAGTACAACCGACTAATTCGAGTTTTAAGCATGGTGCAACCGCGAAATCTTGTATCTTTAGTTTAACGTATTGAGCTTCAATGGGCACTGGGAGATTGAGTACAGACAGAGATGGTTCCAGAATACGGAACTCGACTGGAGTGCCATCGGGATTTGTATAATCTCTGAATACATCTGTTAAATTGTTTGAATACTGAATTCGAATAGCCGAAGAAAATGCTATTTTGCTGCCGGAGCCTCTCATGACGCCTTGTGATCTGAATCCACGAATGACAGTAGGCGCTTTTAAGTCTATTAACACCCAATTATCACCGGGTTCAACATGGGTACCGCACCAACCACGTGGAGTATTAAGTCGTATCATCTAAACAAATTCATAGTGTGGTATTTTATAATTGATACGTCGAGTCTGTTGGAAATAATTGTTTAAGACCTAGAATAACATTATTATTATTAACTTACCTCTTTTGTAAATGACGGTTCGGAACCAGAAACAGATATGGCATCATCAGAAATACCTCCATTTATCATGCCAAGATCGCCAATAGGTCTGCAATCCATTGTAGGTGCGAACCCAGTTTTGCATTTACAATGGAAACCACCCGCACTGTTCACGCATTCTGTTGATGCTAAATCACATTGACTAGCGGCACATTCGTTGACATCTAATATAAAAATAATTTATATAATATATTCGTATGCATTCGTATTTAAATAAAATATAATTTAAAAGTTATTTATTTATATTAACCTTCGCATTTTGGAACATTTGAAAAAGTCTGATTCACTCCACATTTAATAATTGATGATCCTCCAGTAAGTTTAAATCCTCGATGACATTGTACACGAGCTTCGTCTCCAAAGAAGTATTTACGTGTTTGGTCCATAACAAATCCATTACTAATTTCCGGTAATTTTGCACATTCAGCGCCTGAAATAATATGTCATTTAGTAATGTCATTTATTAACTTGAAATAATATTTTGAAACTTACGAGAACATGTCGGAACTCCACTTGACCATGTGCCATTACTCATGCAGAGGATTACTGGATGACCTGAACGCACATATCCTGGATCGCACTGGAATCGAACAATAGTACCATAACTACGTCCTCCTCCATTTAAAACGGTAACATTTGAGTGTGGTGTTTCCGCAAGTGGTGGACATTGTGAGGCTAAAAAGTAAAACAAAATGTTATTTATTTTAAATTCAATTCAATATATTTCTATACATTAGATCAACATATTTATCATACAAACCTAAGCAAGTCGGTAATCTTTCCCATCGTCCATCTGCGAGACAAGATACTTTTTCAATAGGCTCATTTGAAGGAAAAGCAAAACCGGCGTAACACTGATACATCGCTTGTCCTCGGTAAGTTACGTTCGTTGATCCGGTTGAGAAACCGTTGTCGATTTGTGGAACAGGACCACAGTAAACCTCTAAAGAATAATAAGAACCCATTGCAATTTCCAACAAATTTGTAATTAAATATTACGTTTCTTTACCTTGGCATTTTGGAATATATGAAACGGACCAATTACCACCAATTAAGCATTCAGTCGTAATCTTTGCCTTTCCGGTAGCAAACTCTTGTCCTACCGGACATGAGAAAGTGACACTTGTTCCAAATGCAGTGTCTCTATTAGACTCTAGTGCTCCTACGCCGGGCTTTAATGACGGACAATCTAAATACAATCAACAAACGAGTAATTAAAGCTATGTTCAATTATACTAGTTAATAACATAATTAAAACCGTACCGGCCGAGAACGTCGCGTGCCATCCTTTTTGGTTGTGTAAAGCGTCAGTCATGAATCTTACCAACATTTCACCACTAGCGGCTGTTAGAGTTATCTTTGGTGGTGTATTTCCAGTAAATCCGTTGTTCGGATGTAATCGCAATCCACTAGTACTGGCACCGTCATATACTTGCACGAAGTCAGATTGATGTACAGTAAAAGAGTCGAATTTTAGAGACAGTGGGCTCAATGAGGGGTTCTTTATTTTAATAAGGCATTCTAAATTGCTAGGATAGTTGGCTATCCCGAAAGTAGGCGAGGAAATGGTACCATTAGCCGCGGTAATAGTAGCTTTGCATCCTTGCGAATATTTAATTTTAAACCCTTTTTTGCTATCGCCCAAACTTGTTTTAAAGTACAAATACATTTGATTTCCCGTCGACATTAATAATCTAGGGTTATTCTCTAAAGATCCAGTCAATCGACCAATCGGTTGACTCTTTGGCGAATCTCCATCCCTAATCAATACAAAGTCTCGATTTTGTTCTAAGCTTAGGTCTTCGATCTAAAAATAAATAAACATTATTTAATATATACTTAAAGGGATCCAAAACAAAATAATAAATATACAGACCTCTAGAGTTATAATTCTTCCTGCTTGAGCAGTAATAGTGTATAAACATTCTAATCCGCCAGGATAGTTATTCGGATATCCAGGAGAAGTTAAGGGCTGTGGCTGTGTTGTAGCTCTTAAGTTACCACCACACACTTGTGGCTCTGTCTTCCAGGACGCTCTTTAAGAACAAACATTGTGTTATACAATTAAAAAAAAAAATAATAAATAAATTATTTCAAAATTTTACCTAAATCCTTTACGTTCCACTGAAGCATCGGTACTGAATTTTATAATCATAAAATTCGATGCTGACACAAACATTTTATTGCTTAAATCCATTTTTCCAGAAAGTGTGGCTAAGTTAACTGCCTTATCCTCTGTTCGACCACCGACTAATATCTGTACAGTGTCGAATGACTTCTCCGTTTCAAACTCTTGGAACTAAGCATTAAACATTTTGAAAATTATATCATCACTTCTGACATAAGTATTTTTTTTCATCACTTATTCACCTGAAGCAGTATGTTATGCCCCTGCGGTCCTTCCAACGTCCATTTACAATTGGCGAGAGACTCGTATTTATGAGGGTAATTTGGAGATTCGACAACGTCACCGCTGTTGGCCATGTAATAATGACAGTTCGAGGAACAGTCCAGTTCGTCAGACCAATCGCCGCAGTCATTTTGCTTGTCGCATTTAAAAGCCGAATTTACGCAACGACCATTAGAGCAGTGAAACGAACCTGATAAAATTACTTCATGAAAATATGTACTAAAACATAAAGGTGTTCAGTCTTACCGGTTGGGCAAGCATTGGCGCGACACAAAAACGGTAGGAGAGATTCGCACGTTTGCAACTGCCACGACTGTTGATCATCAGTCACAGAGACATCAACGCATTCTCCAGACATCGGGTCGGGTTGGGATAACGACCAGAATCCTATAAGTTCAAAACAAGTCATTAATATGGGGTTTTCGAACGGGTTTCAGTTATTTAGGAACCTACCCGAGTACTGTGAAACCAGAACTCCTCCCGCATATTCCAAGGTGTTGGTCCGGAGATCGTCTAAAGATGCCAAGCCTAACCAGTACCGTTGATTGTTTCTATCGGCCGGACTGAGACTTCTTCTAGCCAACGAGGCCGTATAGTTGTTTTCGGTGTACGACTCGATGAGTACCAGATCACTGCCATACCTTCAATTGAAACACGACACAATATGTCAAAATCCGCAGACTCCGATAAAAACCATGATATACGTACCGATTGCACAGCTGAGCCGCGTTCTCCCACGAATGTTTTATACTGAAAAACTTATAACAGTGCAGTCCTTTGAGTTCCCATCCTGAAACAAAATATCGACAATTCTATTAGGTACGTTCATTGATTACAGTTAAGATCCCGAGTATCAGTTTTAGGACCTACGGGGGAAGTTCCCGGTTGCTTCTACAAGACCACCGATACGGACAAGTTTTGAGTACAAAACTAGAAGGCAAACATTAATACAAGCTCTCGCAAAGATAGTACCTATACCTGCGGTTTGATGTATTTGTGTCGGTCAGTTGAAACCGAAACCCCGCCGGCCTTATAAAAATGTAATTTAGTCGATACAGTTTCCATCACGGAGGAACGGCCGCGGCGATTGATATTCAATGTGACATACATTTGTCTGAAAAAACAGCGACGGCGGCACGTACACATGTAGAGCCACGTCACCGCTACTCTCCGTACTTCCACAAAACAGGAATGGAGTATTTCCTTTCCATTTATTGTTAGTACTTTTTTTTTATAATATCTTCGTACATTTTTTTCCCTGTACATTGTTCGTTTTCATTCGGTGAAACTTACTTACGAATCGTTTTTTACGATTTGTAATAGAAATTGAAACTAAACGGTCATATGGCGAATGAATCGACATTTTAGGTCAAAACCTCGTTGACTTTTGCGAAAAGCAAGCCGGCGAAACCGCTTGCAATATTATTTAAGTAGCTAAGCTGTATTAGAATTACGTTTAAAACAAATGTACCGACAAAAATCGTAACGCAGCCAGTAATTATACTCATATATTATAATAATATCATAAAATAACGAAAGTGGTGTCAACAGAGGACACCAAACTCTTGTTGACGTTCAAAACATATATTTTGAGTCATTTTTATGTTTAGAAAGTGTATTCAACATAAATACGCTAAAACGACAAACTAACCCGGTACAAAACTTCCGAGATGTGCTATCAACAATTTGTATCTTCATAATGTGGAGTAAACCGATAAAATCGGAAAGTTTTCATTTTTAAATTATTTTACTTCCTGGTTTCATTACGTGTACAAAAGGTTATAGGTACAAAAAATTTGTGAATAAAAATCCATTATTAAACAACAACAAAAAACTTTCACAAGGGAGAGTGTGAAATTAGGGACTAAAACAAAAAAATCTAAAACTAATATAGATTTTTTTATAACTCGAACAAAGAGTTTCGGAAGTATTATTAATGAGTCATCGAGTTTATTCTATGAATCAGTATCCAATTAATTTAATTAATTAAAAAGCTTGTATCGTTAGGCGTGACCTACTTGTCATTTATTTTTGTAATCGTTTTTGGTTTGATTTTAATGGTGGTAATTAAAACTACCGTGATTAATTAAATAATTGCCCGCTAAAAAAATAAGACCATTAAATAAAAATGAATACAAAGATCAGCTTAAAGAACAAACATTTAACGGTGAATGAAAACTGTCATTTACCTACTGTGCAAAATAGCCATTATAATTATAATATATTGCAGTAGTTATTACATAGAAATATAGGATAAGTTTTTATATATATATATATTTTTTTATAATACAAGTACGTACTTAATAAACGGTGAACATTGTAGTTAAATCGTTAAAGAGCTAAATTATACTTCAATCCGTTTATAGAGTTATTTGTTTGAATATTATTTATGATTAAGAATCCATAATTTTCCCTTCTCTAATGTCCGCCTATCTTCCAGAAGTCATTACAATCACCATCTTCTTAGATAGAAAAACAATGCAAAATTAACTGCAGGGCCCACTGAGTTCTAGTTCAAGTTGTTCAAATGTATTCTAGAAGTGTTAAAAGAAGCAATTCTGGATTAATAATGCAAACAACAAACGTACAATTATTCGAGTTCTGATGTTTTAAATCTCTAAAAAACAAAATGTAGATATGTTCACAATTCACTCCGCATAGCATAAGAAGAGTTAAGCATTATTCCAATAATTGTTTTATCTAGAAAAAAGCGATAAGTAAAAATGTATTATTTTATTTACCTATAATAATTTATTATATTGGATTATTTATGAACAAGTTATTTGTCATTTGTTTCAAATTAATCGTTAATTATTTTTATATCAACACGACCTATTTGTTATTTATTTCAATGTCTGAATAATAAAAATATATAGGTACTATGTTGAAATTATCGGAGATAATTTTTATCCTTAAATAAAATAATCATCTTTTATTTATTAACTTACAAGTAACGTTATTCACGAATACAAAACGATCGTCAGATCATCTGTTATTTATTATCTTGTTTAAATTTTGCACTACTCTGCAATGTCTAGTACCAAGCCATTCATTATAGAATACCGTACATCGAATGGTCCCGTCTGATGATGGTTAAAAGCACCGGCCGTCGCACACTATCGTACTCGGGCAAAGTAGTTAAATAATAATAATTAACGCGTGCCGATAAATTATTATACCTACGTTATCCTTTCGAATTTCGAAATCGCCACGAAAGGAAAAAAATTCCCATGTGACAGCGCCGACATAATATATGCGAGTACGACGACCGCGGCCGTCCGTCAGATACGACTCGAGGCCATATCGGCCGACCAGGAAGAGCGCAAGTTGTAAGAAGTATACAACGATCATTTTTTTCCTTATATATATTTTTTTTATTTCCTCTCCACTCGCCGCTTGGTCCGACTATTAGTGTACTCATCGGCGTGCATTATCCGGCCCGACCGAAACGGCTTTCTCCCGCTGTAGATGCGCCGCACAAACGGTTGCCGTCCAGCCGAACTATCCAATAGCCGGCGGTTCCTCGGTGTGTGTCAGAGGCCGCGTCACGATCCGATGCGCTGTGCTACTCTACTCGTGGAGTAGAAATACATGTATTTCTTACAATACTAATATTATACAACAGGCGGCTATAACGTCCGGCCCGTTCGACGTGACCCCTTCGCGGTCGCAAGTCAAATGTTATCGATTCGCGTTTATTGTGGCTGAGAGAGAGATTCTTTGGGAAGCGTTAATGTGATTTTTCGCAACGGCAACGATCCGGTTAATTGTTTTCGGTACACGCCACGATTTCACAGTGCCAGACCAAACATAATATAATATATTATAATAATAATTAGAAGCGTTACGTGGACTCGTGCACATTGATATCGATGTAGGTATATAGCTTTCCGCTGCTACCGGTTTTCCTGTACGAAAACGCGTCTAGGTATACGTTATCGTATGCGTTATTTTACCGGAACGGGTACGGATTTTTAAGAAACATATTATACCTACTAGAAAAAGAACATAATATACTAGGTTCCGCAATAAAATTTCGCGGGTCAACGCCACGCCGAATTGCTGAAAGCGAGAACAACAATTTATTTAATGTACCTACATGACGATCCAAACGAACTTTCATAAGGGAAAACTAGTTTGAGACTTGGCTCCAATTTGAAAACTACAGCCAAACACGTTGAAATTTGTTCGGAATATCCGGAGAGTGTATTTCGTGCAGTGTCATCGTTTGGGTGAGAGCAAAATGTTTATGGAAAACGCCTTTTGGCACAAATGTACAATTTATGATCGAGAGAGAGAGAGAAATCGCTAGAGCAGACCGGAGTGTTGGTAGATTTTTATGGCTAAAAAATTGTATATGCATGCGGGTATAAATGCATAAAAAAATGTAATAATGAGACTACTCTCGAACGATAAAACCGGCAAAACGCATTAAACAATGTATAATAATATGGTGGCAATAGTTTATTGTACAATAATAGTGTTGCTTTTCGGTAGGTACTTAAAACCAGTAATTCTGAGTACCCGACCAACAACATGGACGGATAGGTTTTGTGCTGTTTCCAATTTACCCCGCTGAAATCTTGTTTTGATATGATCATAAAAAGTAATATAACATTATGCCAATGACCACGGCCTTAGGTTATGACGAAATACAATCAAGTACAATACATTATATTTCTAGTAAGAAAGCGAACCGTGTAGCTTAATTGAGTATATTACGCGAACCACGCACAACGGATAGGCAGGCCACTTCTTCGTTTGAACATAATCTAATAATGTCTTAAGTGTAGCGATTTTTTATGGTCCGTGAAATTACTTTAGTAGCCGTTATTCTCAACGTTTGAATTATAGAGGGTTTTAAACGAAAAAAAACCCCGTTGTTCGACGTAGACAGAAAATTAAACATTTTAATCGGCGATAAGTTTATATTAACCGCTTTTTATCTACCTTACGGTTAGCTATTTAATGGTCAAAAACCACGGTAATATCCAATGTTGGCATATTGGTTTTGGTTTTTTAAACAGTTTTGTCTTGTTTATTCTTTTTTTTTTCCCGCCAAGATATAGGTCGAAACGTACATATTATGGCTAATGGCACGTCGATAAAGGTAAATGAGTTTTCTTGGTCGTTAATTATTTATATCAATTAAATTGATACATTTATTATATAAATTAAATTAGTTACCGCATAATTAACGTATGTCGTGTTTACTAATGTTTTATAATTGCTTCCTTATTGAGTGTAATTAATAATTAAATGTATTAAGTTAAATTAAAAAATTTTAATCGCTTTATTAAAAAATACCATTTACATACCTATGCTCCATTTGTTAACTAATACCCCCTCCTTGACCTTATTGATATTTGTGGTATTTTGTGGACAGAATCAATAGGCTATAAGTGACACATGGCGTGACTGTAGAAGTGAATTTTATTCAATTTTACAGCACAAAAAATGAATTTGTGTATAATATGTTCTTATGTATGTTTTTTAGTTTTCTTCAATATCTCTTTCCGAAATTTATGGAAAATTGTAATCACTTCAAGTATCCTGTACCTGTATCGGTATAGACCGCTGGCTGGTACCACAGTGTTTACTGTAATTATTCGCCCTCGTCCCCTCGGTCAACACGAAACACATACCCCACAGAGATGTAGTGACTAGTGTCCGTGAGGTTATAAGTTCAAGGCAAATCGTATCGACTGTCGGCTGTCCGAGGGCAAAATGCTCTGCGGTAAACGATAGTGTTTCCGACGAGGCGATTCTTTATTATTACCATCGCCCGGCAAGTTACACAACTCTGCACCGTCGCACGTCATTTATAATATATACCTGCAACGACCCGAGGGCGGAGGATGAACATTGTTTTATTGTTTCCACCGCGATACGTATCCGGCTATTGTGTACATTATTATATTATGTGTGTGTGTTGTGGGGGGGCCCACAGGACTCCTCGTTTGCTTTGTAACGATGCCACTACTTAAGCCGCGACTTCCAACTCCATTAACCCGGCACACGTGACGGACCGTGGCCTTCGGTCTCAAGTCTGGTGTGTACGACGTCTTGTAGGTTTTCACATTCAAAAGACCATCTCGCCAGCCCTTATTAATATATCATAATTTACATTGTTTGTCCAATACGACGTTGAGTACACAATGAGACGGCGACCAGACTATATCACAATAGAACCCTCGTTCTGGTAATTTTTTCTTTTTTTTTGTGGACTAAATTAATTTTTCCCCTCTCGGACGTGCCGCGGCGTTTCGTCCCGACAAACGTATTATGCAGAGATCACACTGCGAAGTACATGATGCATCCAAGTTAAAAATTTAAAAAACAACAAACACACACACACACACATACGAGATACTTCATATATTTATATGTATCACTGTAATAAATTAATTAACTAGTGTCGTGAAAACAATGAGTAGTCTATAAAGGCGTTTTATAGACTACTACAATGCTTTGTTGTTTTCGAAATCTTGTTAGCTATTTCAATCTAATTTAAAAAAAAACCGATTAAACCTATTCTCCCGTATGGGGATACAAGAGATATCGACCTAGGCTACGTACCTAGTTTTTATCTTGCCGTAATAGCTATGTGTATTAATGGACAAGAAGAAGAAAAAATCAAAACTTTAAAATAATGATTAAGTTAACATAAATGGACATAATGAAAATAAGGAGTCCGCACAAGAAATAAAATAAATCGATACAATGAGATTTAAGTAATATATTATAAAAAAATAAATTATTATTTGCCTATTAAACAACAATACGTCTTAGAGAAAGTCTAAAAACACCTATTAAAATTTAACAACAAAATCTCACCCCTTACATAGGATGTCTCGTGCAGCGAACTTAAATGACAATTTTAGTGGTTTATAGTATTATATGTCACTTGATTATGTCATTGTTATTTTTGCATTTATTTTATTATTATTTAGTTTATATTTTTATATTATCATTTGTTTAATAATTATAGTTTTATTATTATTATTTTGTTTTTTTTTCTCTCAAGTACAGTATTTGGATTAACGCCCGTTATGACATTAAATAACTAAATAAATTGGGTCAGGTTTGGAGTTGACTGAGAGAAAAATTTATTCTAGAGAATCATTTAAGTGCCCGATCGGTGGATCCAAATAGTTATTATGAGAAATTATGAATAGAAAGATTTTACAAAAATTATGGCTTACCCGATGGACAAGAGAAGAGTCCGGTTCCAGGAGTTTGTATCTGAAAAAAAAAACAATTATTATAATTTTAAAATACATAAAAAAATCACGGTTAAAAACGCAAAATTATATTCCGGTACCGGGAATCGAACCCGAGCCTCCTGGGTGAAAGCCAGGTATCCTAGCCACTAGACCATACCGGATCGATGTATTAACTAAGAAAATTACACTAATTTAAGTTACTCAGCTTATCAAATTGCACATAAAAAAAGTTCTGGCTTGTCAGCTCTGTAATAGACTGTAGAAACTTCAACATTTTGTATATAATATGACAATATTTAATTATTAAAATAGTACCTGTATACATTTTACATAATATTGTCTTAATATATTATATAGCACAAAAGCGACATTTGCAAAGAGTCTTTGACCGCCAAAGACATGATATCTAAGGGCCATTTTTATTACAAAATGAAGAATATATTAATATATTATAATAGGCAGCCATAACAGCTCTTAACTTATATTTAATAATTTATTTTATAACAATTAAAAATTATATTGCTTTTCATTTCAAACGTTTTTCCATTTCGCATTTTATTTATTATTGAATTCTTGATTGTTGTTCACAATAAAATTTGTATACCTACAACTATGCTCCTTGCAGTACTTTATAAAATGAATAGGTACATTTTTAATAAAAAGTAAATTCTGAAATTATAAAATACATTAATAGTATTTTGTTAAAATACAATAATATGTAATAATTATTATGTAACAAATATTTGTTTCACATTACAATTTACAACTATTGTTAAAATGCTTACATCAGGAGTATTTAAGGTATCTATGTTTATATATAACTAGTTTACCGTTTGCCCTGTTTAATTTTAAATTAACTTAGTCTTTAGAAAAACGATAAGCGTTTAACTCAAATATTATAAAATAATAACACCGTTAAAATGTAAAGATAAAAGAATTCCATCTGGTATCTATTGAACTATTGAAGGATTACCTAGAACATGTATTGCGACTATTGTTATTCCAATCAGTTCCGCTGACTAAAAATTACATTTTTTATACAATGGTCAATAGTTCCAGGATGCTGCTAATACTGGATTAAAGTGTTTAACGCATAGTGCTTAAATGCATTGTAACCTAACAAAAACATCATAATATTTTAAGGATTTTTCACGATCAAACGAAACTCGATTGTCTCCAAAATCGTGAACTAGTTAAAGCGATAGGTAGGTATTATAGATAGATATTATATTTGGTTTTTGTGAAATCTTTTTGATTCGCCATAGTGGTCGGGTTTATAACCATGAGAGATCGGCGGCGCCCTAAATAGTGTCAATTATTAATGGAGTGTGTAGTGTTAAAAAATTTGAAGAAAAAAAACATGCGTACCTACACAATAGACTGTGACTAGTTGGCATCTACTAATGAAATGCGGGCATTCCGATAAAACGTTTTAGTTGACCACCGATTAATTCAAAAAACATACATTTCGTTCTCAACACTTTACGGGTACTTATTAAATGACCGATTGACACTAACGCGGTCATTGGTCCTAGGTGCTATGCTATTTTTCTTATATTAATGTGTAGTTTAAACTATTACCGGTAGCATACGTAGCCTCTGTTTTGCTCGATTTTAACCACGATTAATTGGTTTTTTTTATCAAACTAAATCGTGGGAAAGATAGTCCGTCCGGGCACAAATAGACTTTTTTTTATGATTTTAGCCTCTAAAATATTATAATATACCTTTAAAAAAAATCTAAAAATGTTTTAGGTATCTAATGAAAAATTAGCATCATTAAGGTCATTAGAAACTTGGAAATTCACGCGCCAAATACGATGTTGCGGAAACGCACAATTATTTTGCATTTTGCACCCAAACGCGAAGCGACCAGTGAATATAACATGGACCATAATAATTTTGTTTGAACATTTTTAACTAGACGTGACAATTATTTATCAATTGCAACAACATCAGACTTTCTATTAAACATAGGTACACCATCATAATGTAGGTAAACACTTAACAGTAAAACCTGACCTTTGTTTAACCCGACTTCGCCATATTGATACTATCCAATAATACAAAATATATTGTCTCTGATTTTAGACGGTTACAATTACTAATAATTATCTTTATCAAAACGATATAGTCTTGTACGCTTTCGTTTTTAAAGAAATTGAATTTTTTAATGAAAATCTCAGCGCCGACCTTAAATTCTGTAGCGAAATGATAATTGTTTAATATCTCACACAAGTGCACACTGAGTAACTCAATACCTACTAAACAAACCGAATGAGAACGCGTATTGCGTACCTGCTTTAATATTATTCTATGTTCTAGCTATGAGTCAAGGACAATACAATTATCATGAGAGAAAAAAATAACTATTGTTGCCGCGTTATGTAGGTACACGACCAGTTTGCGATTTGAAAGAAGAAACATTATCTTATACGAATTAATAATTTGATAATATGTTCCTATAAGGTCTTCGTTAGAATTTTTTCATTAAAAACTTATACAAAAATCTTATGTGTACAATGTACATATATTTTAATGTTTATTCAATTGCACTTGCATTCCAGCGGTCTTACACATGCAAAATTTAATTAATTAAGAGGGAAAAGAAGTAATTACGTATGTATTATAAAAAAATCTAAACATGCAATTCGTAAGTTTCACTTGTTAGATATACAGAGGTCGACAAAAGGATAATACTGCCGACGAATTGTTTTTTAATCTTGATCTGTAATAATTGAAGGTAACTAATAAATTATAGCAGTGCGTGCAGTGCAGTTTGCAGTCCGCTTGTAAAATACGGTCAAACCAATTTTTTTTTTTTTAAAACTGTAATTTTATTCGACAGTTAAAATATACATAGTATATACATACACTTAAACTCGGAAACTAACTATTTTCTCGTAAGTTTTTTTTAAAAATAATTATAAGGCATGTAAAGAAATAAGATGCATGGAATGTAAAAATGTAGAAAACAACGGAATTGACGGAATATGTCGGTACCTACATTTAATTTTCAGAAAAAATGTTATATTTGAAACGTGTCAATATAACATAACGTTTTTGATAGAGAAGTCAGGTGGATAACATATACTGCTATTATGATCGGTGAAAGTCTGTCGTTTGTGCGACAGATGTCAGTACACTAAATTTGCATTATGTATCGCAGCATCGTGATACTATTTAAATTGAGATCGATTTGATTACGTGAGCTTCTCAAATCAGTTTCCAGTCTTTTTTATTTTTCATTCTTTGTGAGGCGAAAATAGTATAGCGAGTATATATTATGACGCGGACAATTTTAATTCAAACTCTTATAAAAGAAAACGAATTCACTCGCGTAGCACTTTAAGTGGTTACAATTATTATTATTATTATTATTTGTAAGTGCAGTGCAGACTGCAGTGTATGACCAGCCGTTATGAAATATAAAACGTTAAGAGACCGACCGATTGGAAAAGTTACCGATCCAGAGAGACAAATTCAACAACATATTTTGATGTTGAGCGACGCCCGATTAGGTGTATTTTACACATGGGTACAATCCAATAAAAAATAATTATGATGCAACGGCTGCGGTGCATGTGAAAAAAAATCTCAATGGGTGTATAATGTACCTACACGCGTTCATCGATTACCTATGCACAACACCGGAGGACAAATATACATATTATGGATGCTATGAAACACGCGGGCAGTTGGATAGGTTGAGAAACGTAAATAGGTTTTTTCTCATAGCTGATAACATTAGTATACTCTGTCGTGATGTAGCCGTGCTACTTTCACACTATACCTATACCGATTAAAAGTACGGAAATACGAATGTGTGTACACGCATGCACTTAGGCCGTTTGGTTGGATATTGTGTAGCGTACCAACTACACCGCGGCGCCGCTTCATGGACTAACTAAATCTGCAAGAATTTTCATATTTAGGTGAAGGTTTAAACAGTAGGTGTATTGTTAAGCCGCCAATAATATATCATAGTAGTTGTGTATTATAATATTATACTTTACACTGTAACTTGTATGGTAACGAACATGGCATCTCATTTTCTATACGATCGAATCCCAAGGTTAACGAGGAAAAAGGAGCTGGTGTCAATACTAATATATTAATTCACTTCGGTCAAAGTTATATAATGTACACATTATTATGTTATGTTGTAGGATTATTTATTTAAAAATTGTTGGCACGAAAATTGATATTTACAACTAATACTCGATGTTATTGTACAAGAAAATATGCTAATAACGACATGAGACATCCTAAAAAGTATATAATATATTATTATTTATTATGTATACACAAGAATTATAATATATAGACTTTATTAAAACTGAGCTCGTGTACGAAATAAAAGAAGTTTTGTAAGTATAAATCATCGGGAATAGGCATATTAACATATTATATTTTCTAATATTTTATTTATTAAAAATAATTCAGCTAACAATACATTTGTAAAACCTAGCGAGTTTTTAAATGCTGCTCTATTGTGCTAAGATATTAAAGAAGTTGAAACTTCGAGAAAATATAAAAGATATACAAGATCAACCGTTGAAATTAAGTTAAAAGAGGCAATAGCTGGTGTAGTTGATATTACACAAGAGAGTTATTTAAGGAGATCAAAGTCGTGTGCAAGGAACATGGCATGAACCGAGTATGAGTCATTAGAGTGACTATGATAGATATATCCACCAGTAAAGTTTTTTATTTACAGTTATTTGTCTTGTTACTCCTTGTTAAAGTAAAATTATTTATACTTAATTGAAAACCAGTGAACCGTGATTCTTGGACAGTTTTGCTAATAGATTTAAACTATTTTATTTTTAGCTAACGGAGTAAAAAAAAAACATTGAATTGTCGTGCATGAAAGAATATGGTTTTTAAAATTGGTTATTGGACTTTGGTATGTTTATATTTTAAGGTCAACTCATTTTTCATATATTTACGTTTTTTTAATAAAAACAAAATTGGTCAAATTAATATGTATTTATTTGTTATGTACCAACATCGCAAAATGTTATCACAATACGTCTTAGAGGCTTAAAAGCTTTAGTGTTATTATTATTTTTATCTAGACAAATTCATCCGGTGCTCGAACACGCTTTCCCTCTAGAATCTTTTGATGCATTCAATTACATATATTTTAACAAAGGGCTTGAAATAAACGGTGTAAAAAGTGTTATATCATTACGTTTAATGTGAAGTGAACGTCTTAACGTAACCACGAACCACACTCTTGTGCAGATTATTACTATGAATGGGCAGGATAATGAAATTGTCAACCAAATTATTATATTATATCCTTAGATAACTGGAACAATAGACCGTCGACGTAATAAAAAAAACATGTACCTCCCGAAAGTAATACGTGTTTATTATGATGAATATAAATATAATATAATATAATGTTAGTATATATAGTATATAGTATGTTTAATTTTATATAGGTACCTGAGAGAGCACGTATGGTAGAGTAACGACCAGTAGAATGGCCGCATATATTTTTATCCTCATGCCAGCTGGATGATCTGTAACAAAGAAAAAAAACAAAAACTATTACAAAAAATGTTATTTAAAGAAATATGGATCTTAAAAAATGTTTTTTTTTATATATTAGCGTACAGTTTTAATGATGTTATAAACTTAAAAAAAAATACTAAACTATTTAACAAACATGCCGTGGTATTCATATAAACCAGATCAGACACAGTGCGTTAAAATTATTTCCTAATAGCAATAACGGCAATAAAAATACATTTCGACACTATCAATATATTACCGAAAAACGTATCAAAATGTTATTATTCCGAAATCTGATTCCATAACTAATGTTTTATACGGTTCAAAGATTTTTGGTCCATTCGATCAGCTGACTATAAATTGTATAACCGAAGAAGTCTCGCAGCTTAACCTATATTCAACCGTATTCGACGATAATAATAAATAATATCATTAGATCCGATGTTACAGATAATGCTCGAATGCCGAATACACACAAATACGTACCTGGGATACCTACTATGTTTGGTGAATTACTCAAACTTAAGAGTCTCAACTAAAGTCTACGCGTCGACGGCTGTCTATGATTTCTGTCAGAGAACAATATAAATGGAACATCATAAATATTATTGCTTCATTTGAGTTCGACAAATTAGACATGGGAGCCGGTGCAACGCTTAGTCGTACAATTGACATTATGTTCAGTTGCAATATTCGAGAATGTAACCTACCCACGGCGACACCGAGTCTTTGGTTCGCACAACGATTTAGATCTTAAACGTTACCTAACCCGTTTTTTTCCTTCGTTCCTCATTTGATTAATGCTCTGAATCGGAGCCACTATAAAGGTCACTGGGGTGCGACATTTTACTCGTCAGCTAAACTACAATCTACTCGTTGTTCGCCAACAACACCGGCTATACAGATAGACTATATATTATTATGCATGTTGCGGAATCTGTAAATTATTATTTCACTCTTACACACCCGTTGGGTGGAACGCAGCAGCCTTTATGACCCATTTATGTACACATCGAAGTAGATTTTTGGTTTTTTAAACTTATCTGGTTAGGTTCAAGTGCCAAATCGATGTTGTAAATATATGTACGTGTATACACATAGAGATATACGTATCGAATCCGGTTTAATACGGTCTGTTTGATAGCCTGACCGGCGTTTTGGCATAGTGAATTTTATTCGGCTCGTATATATTATAAAAAACGAGTAAAAAATGTTGCCCGGAAAGTAGTTCAATTTAGTATTATAAATTATAATCATAACGATAAATACGCGCGCCGTTTGTAATTGCCGATAAGTAAACATTATGTGTATTATATTTCTATTAGATTTAGAATACTTATTAAGAACAGTACTCAGCCTCGAGTCCTTCCCTTGTTTTTAGCGTGTAATAATTTAGTGGAACTAGGTAAACCACAAGACAGACTGTAGTTGTAAAATATAATGTGCAGGTGTACACAGGCCAACCAGTTTATCCTGTGTATATAAGCTTGCTATATTGTGAGTAGGTAAAGATAAAAATATATTATGTTATAATCTTGTCCCCAAAAGCAACGACGAAGGGGTACTATTATCAGTAATAATGGTTAAAAATATTTTGTTACAGTAAGTACCTATTAGTACACAAGCGTTAAACTTGTTTCTAGAACTTCATTTTTTACATATTAAAACTCGATTTTTTTTATGAAACTACACACCAGTTGTAGCTTATTGTTTAAAAGTTAACTATTGTTCGTTGGAATGTAATTTTAACAACGAATTTTTTTTTTTTTTTAATAGGAAAACGATCATTGCACCGTGCAGTTAAAATAAAAATAATTAATTAAATTTCTTAGTAACAACAACAATGCAGCGAATATTTTAATGAAACCTACATCAACGTAGTATGTCGGTTAGTAGGTACAACCAAAGCCCAAAGATCGAATGTAGATCGAGATAAGACCCTCATATAATATACATAATATGTATAGCCAGTAAATCATACGATTAGGTACGTTAGGCTTTTTGTATGGTGTCGTTGGTGATATTTTTGAACAATAATATTATCCGACTTAATTTCTGGACAGTTAAAAACTCAAAAATAGTATGCTCTTAGATCAATAAAAAGAAAGTAATAATCCCAATTGATCTAAGATTAGAAAAGCATCATCTAAGATTGTGTAATATTTGAGATAACTAATAGGAATTTAATTTACATCTGTAATATATTACCACAGAAGTTTTTAAAATGATGGAAAACGATTTTGATACTATACTATAGTACTAGTACTACTACACGTAACCGACAAAAACTGTTTAAAATCGGGATGACCGCAATGGGTAATTGAATGTAGGTAAAATGTGATTCATTGGACATTTATTTATAGCTTGTAGACACATCCGGGTACGTTTTAAATGGATATTTATTTTATTATTTCTATTAAGCCCCATCGATCTGTTACATGAGCTCAGGTTATCCATATTCATGAGCACGCTTTATGGAAATACATAATAATATTGGATTTAAAAGACGAAACGACTTTGTAACGGGTTTTCGTGTGTGTTGTTAATGTGATTTTACCGTCGACGTCGGCTGTTGACAAACACTCGTGATAAAATGTATACCGTGGGGTAATTCCTTGGTACTTGAAACAAAAATGTTCAAACTAATGTTCAAAACGGCTGGTTAGGTTAGGTTAGGTTAGGGGACCGCACGGGCAGCGCGTGTAAGCATTAGAACCAGTGCGAAAGTCTCAGAACGACGATTTTAAGTGAATTCAAAATAAAACAGCTGTTATTTTCAACCTAAGTCGCAGTAGAGTTTGATAAGATGAACTGTGTTACTCGGAAAACCGCAGGCACCTAAACAGTACTCGGCGGCCGCAATAATTATTTTTCCCACGAAAACCGTGCGCGACAAGTGTCCCATTCTCTGCGGGTTAGACAATTATTGATTGGCTTATTCGTTTGTATCGTCGGAGGGCCATTCCGCTGTAGTCTCACTTGTCCGGCAGTTGATAGTAAGCCGGCGAGCCGCAATAAAGATGGGCGAAAGAATGTAGGACGAACAACGGTGTATGGCCGCGACTTAATAACAGCATTCCAAAACCGGGTTGGGCCGTAGGTACACTCGCACGGACATATAATTTAAACGCATGGAAATTAAGTGCTTTCGTGGGGACTAAGGAAATTTGTCCATCCCCACCACGATAGGTACGCACGTGGAATGTTCGAAATTGAGCGTATCCTCCCGGGGTCGAAGGGGAAAAAATCATAACAATTTTTTAATTAACGAGCCAGAGCGTGTCCTTAAAAATAAAATTATGTTATTAAAAGAGAAAGGTTGTCCGCCCCACTGTCATAATATTTTATATATTTCGTATAAAATACGTTTAATCCATCGTGCGAACGAGCGTCGTTGGTAAAACAATAATGTGAAAAACGAAAGGAAATATGAAGCATTACGGTCTTGTCATTGACACAATAACGTGACTAGTTGCTATGCACTTGAACTTCATTGGTCCGAAAACACATACCGCGGTGTTGTTCGCTAACTAGATGACGCAACGACCGACCTGTTCTAATCCACGATTTAATGGTCTAGCCTCGTGACTTCACAACGTCTAATCGTCTGATTATTGACGTTGGCATTGTTTCGATTATTTTGGACTTTTGGTCGACCGTTACGACAATATAAGTAAATGGTAAACATCACGACCTCACAGACATTTCCTGCAACCAAGTTCACGTCAAAGAACGTATGTCGGATCAAGTCGAAAGACTAATTTCGTTCAAACATAAAACTCCGAAGGTATTGGTTAAAGAGTATTGATTACAAGAAATGTGTCTTGACTGAAGAGTGTTGAAGGGATTACAACTCGTCCAGATTTTTCATGTGGTAATACATTGACCGCTTTGAACATTTCAGGATATGAATCCTAGTCACGCCTTTAGTCACACATAACTATGTAGTTTGAATGTATGCATTTATGTAACAATATGCATTATGATTATTGATTACATTAATGTGTATATATTTAACCTAAATTGAAAATAAAGGCTTAAAAAATGGGCTTATCATGTTTCTTTAGTTCATTGTTGCAACACGGGGAGATTTATCTACATAAATACATAGAATTGTACGGATTTCCATACGTTTTTTAATTTATTCGCCTAAAAAAAAACAGTTTAAAATTAATATCATTATGATTCCGCGCCCTAAATTCTAACATCGGCTACGATTTTATAGAATTTGAATATCTAACCACATACCTGGTTTCAATAATAAAAAAAAAAAATGTGTAGTTGTTATCTTGTGCCGGTTGATGAATTAAAACAGGTTTCTTAAACTAAAATCTCGTATCGTATTAAGTACGACGACCCCATAACAAGTTTTCGGAATTCCAATTTTTCTGTATTGTATCACATACACTTTTATCCTTAATAATGAATTTACAGTTATAAATGAAAATTAATCTCTAAAAAGCCTAAAAAAAAACCTGAACATTTACAGTAAGACTTTCTAAAGATAATAAAAACCGTATCTACCTAGTTTTTTATTTTCATTTAAACGTCGAGATGACAACGCGTGTTTTGTTAACTAAAGTAATTGTTGATAATTAGTATGGACTATGGTACATTAGTAAACAGCCAAAATATGTCCACATTATAACGTAAATAAAAGATTTAAACATAATACAGTTAAGTGAAATTGTTGTTTTTTATTTGGCGAACAGTTTTTAGCCAAAAACACTTAGCGTGTGGTGAAGTTATTGTTAGAGTGGCTCAACAAATACCTAATGACACGGGACTTAACGATGTCAGTTTATGACAGTTTGGATCGTTACTCGTTTATTCTATAGAGCTGATAGGTAGGTAAACAAAATAAAAATTGGAAGATCGACGCTTTTATTCGGTATCAATAAAACGGGTAATTCAGTGACTTCGTCTCGGGTTTTTGTACACGCTGTAGTCGGTTAATTGTATTGGAAACTATATCACCGCTGAACAATTTAAAAACAACAACAAATTG